CGGGACTGGGTCAGTTACATCGCCTAAGCGACGAGGGGAAAGAGGTGTTTCAAATGAACGCGATACAAAATTCAGCGCACTCCCGAAAATTCTCGATTCGCTGGACCACGATAATAGCACAACACATTACGTTGTGCCATTGATTGAAGCACTTGCAGCGAAGAGAGAGGACCCGTTGAACGAAGATTTACTTCATATATGCAGCAACCCCTCCATTCCGCTCATTTTCAAATGTCTGTTGAAGAAGGATTTGAGTGGCTTTTTCGAAGCTGTTACTTCCAGGTCTTCTGAAGCGGGTGCACTGGCACTTCCATGTGAAAGCTCCTCCACCATCCGCCGCATGTACATCGAACAATTTCGTGCCAAAGAAATTTCCGGTGGACCCTATTGTGAAATGCACAAGCGCTTTCTCACCGACGATGCAAGACGTGCAGTGCTAAAGGACTTACAGGCTGAGCGCAGCAGGTTGCAGCGCGAGCCCGCGTCTAGCGTGGGTCCGTCGCGCACGTGCGGCAATGACCGAAGTGCAAGCAAGAGCAGTAGGGCAAGCGGGGATAATAGAGCAAACGGACTGCCCAGTGGTCACGGGAGTGTGCCGTTCGCACCGGCCGCAGGTGTCTGTCTGCAGCGTGCTCCGAGTTTCGATCAGAGTGCTGCCAGTCCCAGACAGGGATTTAACAGTGATGCGCCAAGAACGGCATCGCCAGTGACGACCGCAGTAAAAAATCTATACTGGCACTGTTTTGTGCGCAACCCGACGCATTTCTTCCATCCAGATTACTACCCTAATTTTGAGGAGCGTGACGCTTTCCGACTGGTCGTCAACGACCCCGATGCAGATTTCTTTCGCAGATGCCACGACAATCTCCAGGTTTTGTCGGTTTTCGCGAATTATCTGGTTCAACCTCATACCCTTGACTTGTCAGTCTACAACGCATTTGCAAAGTCGGCCGTCGGATGGTACCACGAACAGACAGAAACTGCGCGGGTGGGGAGACCGATCGCAGAGTGTACCTTTCTCATCGGGCAGGAGGCAGACGCAAGGTATCCCCCGTACTATCTTCGGTGTCACGCTCGACCGCTGCCCCAAGCCCTGCGGCAAAAGCTACTGGAAGGCATTAAGGGCATTCGACCCACTGGGAGCCTCATTACACGCTTTGCGCCGCGCGTGACGGAGGGAGTCTCGAAAGAAACTGTATCTCATAACCTCGAGCTTTTTCTCGCTTGGTCGAATTGGGATACTGTTTCGCAACTCAGGGAATTGACTCAACATGATATAGATCGGGATCTCACCGGATTCGTTATTGCCTCTTGGTTTATTTCCTCGGGATTCGCTCAACGCGACTTGGAGGAGGCCGTTGCTGGAGGCTGTCGTGCGGCATTTACGTCATTCTGGACTCATTTGCAAAATGAGGCCCGAACGTGGGCTAAGCGGGGCCGACACGTTTACATTCCATTTCCGACTTTCGTCGATTTGACGTATAGAGAGGGAGCTGGGGACATACCATTTTTTAAGTTGCGACCGGAGAGCATCAGTGTGACGCAACAACGCGTCAACTCCCTCCTTGAACAGTTGCAGATTTCTGAAAGCGAGCTACCCCCTCTCACAAAAGCTGACCTCATGGAGGAAATGATAGGACCTGATGGCAAGACAGATTTTCGTCAGGGTCCGCGATTTTTTTCCATTCGTAGTGACTTGGCGAGGCATTGTGGGCGAAGATTTGCGGCGGCAGCAGCCAATATACAGCCTGAAATGAGTGGAAACAAAACTAAATACAATACGAACAGTCTTGTGCAACAATTTTCTGTGATCACGAGTTTCACTGGAGATCTTCGCAAGTCCTACGAAGCCAGTAGATCGAAAGGACAAGATTCGCAGGGTCGAAGAGTGCTCGAAGACTTCTTTTTCAACTTTTCACAAGGTTTGGCACTAGACTTATCTGCTACGTCCACGGGCCTCGGCGTTTCCAATTCGAACAGAACACCCCTACAAAAGAAATGCGGTGCTCTCGCCTTTGATGTTTTCTTCCTCCTCTACGGTATTACACCACAAAACCAGGGTCTGGAGATCGACTGTCTGTGCAAGGCGTTCGCAAGAACTTCCCTGCCAATTGGATCTCAAGCTCTGCACGAAATGAAGTATATGCAAGATGCGGTTTGGTCGAAGGACATGCTGAAGCAGAGGTTTCCGACTGTGCACGAACTCCTTGCGTCAGACACACTGACAAAGCTCGAACAGTTCAACATGGATCGCAGTTGCGATAGCAATGTGCCGTTCGTCGGTGAGATCATGGGGGATCGCCACGTAGCGGAACCGCCCTATCTTCGTAACGTCAGTCGTTTTTTGGCCTCCGCTCCACATCACGACGGCAGCAAGTTCACGAGAGACTCAGAGATGCCGAAGGGATCGGCTGTAAGAAGAAAGAAAGACGCGAAGCGGCAAGCCACGGCTAAAGACAGTGGCTCCGGTGAAGCCGGAGCACGAATTCGGAAGGCGCCCGTGTATTGCGGTAGCGCGCGCACGGCCGGTGCTGGAGGCAACGACTCGTCGAAAGGTGAAGAGGATTCGAAGTCCAAGAAAGTTCTGAATGCTGAGCTGAGTTTCTTTCTTCCAGGCGGAAAATCTTCAGGTGGCCTGACGAGCGGAAACTTGCTATCGCGCGTCGCACACGATGTTGAGGCAAGTGCACTCTCTCACAAGAACAGCGCGCATGCGCGCAACGTCATCAGCTGTCAAACACTTCTCCAGGTCGCCTCATGCGCCAGCATGTACAAATACGGGGTCCTCAAGGTCACACCAGGGCTGCAGCAGGTCCTGTCGTTCGTGCCACCAAAGGATGGGAAAGCGATTCGTTCATATAAGCCGGCCTTCTATCGACTGCAGGCAGCCGGTGAGAAAGGTAACAAAGCAAAGAACGCAAATGCAGCAGGCGCCGCTTCGCGCGGAAGTGCACACAGCGGACAGGGATTTTTGAGACGCATTGACGGCCTTCCCGAATGCGAAATTGAAAAGGTTTTTCCGCACAATGGAGACGCATGGCGCTTTCTCTCGCAGCAGCCGGCTGGAACCGTGCTGCAAGCTCGTGGATTCTATTACGCCAAGGCATCACAGAGCACTTGGGTGCAGATCTTTGCCGACGAGCCGCAATTCTCAGGTTCGGCTTCACTCTTTCTCGGCGTTGAAAGTGGACGTGGCAGGCTCAGCCATCCCCGGAAAACGCTTGCTTGGTGGCTTTTTTCGCACAAACTGGTGGGGCAACTTGTCGATCCGAGAGTGCAACAAATCGTGCAACTTGTGGTTTGCGCCGCCTATTCCGATTGTCGACAGGTTCTTGGTGAGAGGGATACCGATGGAGGGGCAGACGGCGCTGTTGACACCAAATGGCCAAAGCTGCCCGACGAGTGGTATGCCGTTTCCGCGGACGACCCGAAACTCCGTAGCTGCGTAGAGCGTATCGCAGCTGCGCGACGCAATCGGGAAGCGACGGCACTTTGCGTGTACCTCGAAGCGGAGGAACGACACGCAAAATACCTATACCAAGTTTTGAGCGATTTGCAGGACGGTCGTAAGCGGTGGAATGTGGTACCTGATCTCATCGATGAACACTTCGGCAAGCAGGGCGTGCCCTCTGGCGTGGAGGAAGAGGACTTCGTTTGGGCCTGGTATAAGAGTGGGTCAGATTCTGGGCCACAGTGGCAGCTGAATGACGCGGCCCAGGCTTTGTGCCAGCGTTTGAATGATCTCTACGCATGTAACGTCAACGAGGCGGGCGTGCAGCTATTCCACATGCTGCGGGCCGCCGTGGATAGCATTGACGAGTTCGGGAATCGTCCGACGCACGAGCACCAACCGATCACACAGCGCAAGTACGGCGAAGTGAGCGCCCGCACCCTCGGACAGGTCCAGGAGTCCGAAGAACCGTCGCGGCGGCCGGTCTGCTGGAATCACGAGTACGGTGATGAGGGATTCGGCGACTCAGACGGCGAGGACGAAGACTGTGCACCAACATCTCGTGCTCCTTACACTGCGAGCGCAGCCACAGCCGCGCTGGAGGATACGATGGTCAGCGCCGCCGCGGGTGGAGCAGGTGATGGCGACTTCGGACCCTTACAGGCGGAGAAGAGTCTGCACGAAGGCGATGCGAATTGTTCGCGTGTGGTATACGCGGACACTGCACTGGATCGCGCTCCACAACGCACTGCGCCATTGTTTCCGCAGGATGAGGCTGGCTACGGACGACCGCTCAATTCACCGCACGTGCCGCTGAACCTGTGGGACGGGGACTTGCCTTACTATCAAGTCGCACTCGACCACGACAAGATCAAGCTCGAATACAACGACCACGAGGGCTTGCCCCTTTCCTTCTTGGTGCATAAGGACCTGCTAAATGAGATTTTGGGGGGATGTAAACCCGCGTCAGAGGATAATGGCGTCGAGCTGCTTCAGCAACGGGACAAATTCTTAGAGTGGATTGCGAATCTTTTGCGTTCGCCGCTTCCAGAGAACACGAAAACCTGGGTCCTGCGCAAGGTAGAGAAGAGCTCAACGATCGACGGGCCGCCACCACTTGACCACGGAAACTACGTGAACTTGAGTGCAATTCTTTGGTGCCTCCTTCGGGGCTGTCCAGTTGACACAGCGAAGGCACTGCAACTACGGCGATCGCTGCTCTCGGCTTGGTCCCTGGGGCCAGAGGTGGAGGCGTGCATCCAGCGAAAGAGCAAGCAGTTTGGCATCTACGTCTGCAAAGGGAACACGCTGTCTACCCTCAAGGCACTGGGATTCAAAAACGTCAAAGTGGAGGACTACACCACGCGGCTGCACCAGTACGGGATGAAGCGTATGCAGAATTTGATTTTGCTGGATGTGCAGAAGCACTTTGCCAGCTCATCCTACTGTTGCTTCTTCTATCTGCGGGGCCTTTCAACCATCTCCGACCAGCTTCTGAAGCATCTGGCAGAGTACACACGCTGGAGCCCCTGGCGTTTTGTTTACTTGGAAAATACCGACATCACGTTCAACTGGCCAGAAAATAGGGACCGCTGCGTCTGCGACTTCGCCGAGAAGAATCCTGCGCACTTGATCGAAACTGTCAGCGACTTGCTTAATGAGCCACGCATCCAAGCGCTCCGCCCAACGCACGAGGTGGACTACTCTGACACGTCCGTGAAGGTGCTGCCGACGAAGGAGCGCGTCTGTTGTCCTGCCTCTCTCATAGCCTTTCTTCGAGAGTCACTTCCGGGAAGCAACACGCGGGAGGTGACCGACCGCGAACTTTGGCTGGGCAAGACTCCTGTGCGTGGTGCCGGACTAAGCGTCGACGCACCCACGACGGTTCATCGTGCCAAGATCATCTCGCGTATGCAAGGCGACTTCCGAGACGTCATCAGTGAGCACCTCACAGGTGGCGTGGGCACCGGAACCAAAGACATCGCGCTCGTCTCGCCACCAGGAACGGGCAAGACGCACTTTGCCGATAAAGCGCGTGCTGACCTCGAGGCACAGCCAAACACCCGCGTTCACGGCTTTGACTGTTCTAGCGATGTGCTAGTCCACTCGACCTTGGCGGCCCAGTTGAATCGAAAATCAGATGGATGCAAGGCAAGTGGAGGTGCCCAACGGGGTGCTAAAGGCAAGAATGCTGGCCCGGGTTTGTCAGGTTTCGCGGCTGGCGCGACCGACGACGGAGATGATGACGCGATGGACGTTGGCGGAACCGCAGCGAGTAACTCAGCACCAGGTGAATCGTCAGAAGCGGGTCAGGGTGCACGACACGTGTACATGCTGGACGAGTACCACTTTTTGAGTGAAGATCATAAGAAGGAGCTTTTCAGGTGGCGACGCGAAAACGATGGAACTGCACAAATTGTACTCATCGCGAACCGAATTGACAGCCGCGACCGCGAAAAGATGCGCGGTGGAGGTGCGCCTCCTTCCGTGGAGTCCAGAGGCCAGGCCTCCAGCAGCGGCCCATCAGCCTCTGCTTCGACTAATGCGAACGGAAGACAAGGAACTGGCGCTGCGGCGCCATCTTCTGATTTCATTCTGATAGAGACGCGACTCTCACAGCGTACCATTAAGGAAGTGATGGAAAAAGATGGCATTCGTCACGCGAAGACGAAACGCTCAATCATTCGTTGGATGATTGGGTCACGTCTGCTGTTCGGAGAGGAGTCGGTTTCTTGCCGCATAGTGGACCGGCTTGCTCGTTGCCTACCGGACGCTGGAGAAGCGTGCACAGCGCAGACACAAGAGAGTTTGAAGGCATTGCTGCTCGACAAGGTTCCCACAATTATGACTAGTTAGTTTCTCACTATGCTGCTTGAGGTCGAGTATACAGATTGGAACTCTGATGAAGGTCGAAGAGGATTCCACGGTAGCGACGCCGTTGGCAAGCATGATGAGAAACTACAACTACCTCTAAAGCAATCAGTACGGCGACCGCTGAGCACTTCGTAGGGGCCTTTCTGCGCCATAACTACATGGCGGGCACGCACGGAGATGGTGCCGCGGGAGTGTTGTATCGTGTTGCACAACTTGATCACACTGACGAGCTTTGCTCGATTCCAGAGTTTTTGGATCGCTACGATCTGTTGCACCACCTCCCACCGGCGGCGCGGCTCTTGGCTTGGTGCGGATACGTCCTGTTCGCGACCGGTAATGCTGCTGGTAACGGAGCAGCCCCGTCCGGAAAAAGAGACCGCCGTGGGAAACCTGCGCCGAAGAAGAAAGACAGACGCAGCGGCAAGGCTGCAAAAAAGGGCGCAAAGACGCCGCGTGCAGGCTCCCGGGAGAACGTTTCGCTAGGCGAGAGCAGCTCTGAGAAGGATGAAAACTCTGTGTCAGGGGTTCCTGAAGTTCTAAACGAAAGCGACGACGAGGAGGAAAGCGACAGTTTCCACGATGCGGAGGAGGATCCGGCCGCCGACTTTCTCGACTTCGCTCCGATCTTGCAGCCGATGTATGTGGACCAGGTGAACTTCCCTTTTCAGTTGCGCGAAAGTTGCTCGGACCACCTCCGCGGGAGGGCATTCAGCTGGGGTGGTGACTACAAAAACTTGGACGAGATGGCAAATGCGCTCCGGTCCGGCCACAGTATCGATTTCCGCGATGTTGCAGAGCAGCAGTGGTCGAAGCACATGATCACGGATTGCGCACAGTTCGTGCAGCTGCTGTCCGTGAGCAAATCCGCGCACAAGATTCTCGAGAACGTGTTGCCAGTGAACCTGTGCACGCTGCTCGAACGGTCCAATGGTTCGGACGCGATCGAACTGGCCACGCAGCTGCTCAAATACCGTTCCCACCGTGATGTAAGCGGACAGCACAATCCTTACGCGACTGCAGTGTGGACAGTGCTGCGCTGCGAACGCAATTTGCACTCCGCACTGGACCTGCTGGAAAAAACCGATCCCCGAGGCCACAGTTCGCAAAGAATCAAGAGGACGGTCACAAATAATTCAAGGGCTACCGCCAACACGAATGGGGCGTCATCGCGACATGGTCCACGAGACGCCGATGGCGTGCCGCTGGACACACGAGCATGCACGAACTTGCTCTTTTCCATGTTGTGGGCACAGGAGCATGCTTTTGCTTCGCGGACCGTCGCCACTGGAGTGGATTCCGCCCAGCGCACACGGCTTCTGGTCGAAAGCCTGGAGTTGCTTTCGCTGTTGCCGGACATCCCTCCCGCGGACCTGGGGCGGATTTGGAGTGGTGAATTCGCGAAGCTTTTGCAAGTGCCTCCACCAGAACACGACAAAAGCTCAGCTAGTGGCCTTCCCTCCTATCAAAATGGTCCAGTGGCTATCGAAGTAGACTCGGTTCCCCCTCAGGGGGCTTCCTCCTCTTCTGCTTCGTCTTCGTCTGCAAGGGTCTTTGGTATGCCTGCAGCTGCCTCATCCTCCGCTTCGGATCTTGAGTGTTTGCTCGGCGGCGAGCAAGCAGAATTTACGCCCGATGCACAGGGAACGAAATTGACGGTCGCTGTACTACGGCGTATCCTCTTGCAGCGAAAGGCGGTCGAGACAAAATGGGCACCGATCATCCAGCAGCTGTGGCGGGTTCTGAATCAGCCCGATGTCGCTACAGTGAACGACGTTTGGAGATCGCACGCCCATTTGCTTCTCGAGAAAGAGACCTCGCTAGGCGGTGTGGAAGGTACAACAACTTCGAGCTCCAGAGCAAAGAGAAGCCCGATTACAAGTTCGGCCCCCGATAAGGTTGTTCAACAGCTCGCGGCAGAAGTCGTCGCACGCATTGTTTTTCTGGATGTCGCGAACTGTGCACTCGATAAGCACTTGCAGTGCGTGCTGCTCACCGGAAACTGCCTATTTCCAGTAGAGGTGCAGCTTGACATGTTGGCGTGCTTGTGCGAACAGGCTTTGCAAGAGACACCAGCATCTGCGATCCGCATCCGCGGACTGAAGCCTGATGTTCTGAAAAAACTCAAGGAAGAGGCAAGACCCGATGTTGCATGAGCAAAATTCCAGGTTAATGATAGATAGTAAACCAACAGTGAAGTAGGAGCTTGCTTCATCAGGGACGACACGACGACACATAATGAAACAAGCATGTGACCAGAAGAGCTGATACATTTATCGTCGAGCAGCATGATAATTCGCTTGTTATGATTGGATTGGAACGATGTACTCATACATGTAATCATACAAAGAAGAACCCGCTGCACTTCATTTTGTCTAACTTTGTATTGCTCCATCTCTTTGTCTACGATCTTATGAACTAAAGAGCCGTTGAGTTTTACATAAGGGTTCATCACTCACGAGTCACGACATTGAGCTTGAAGTACGGATCGGTACTAATTTTACGAGTTTGTCGTGCTTTTGACACGCTAGTCACCGAGTTGACAAAATGTAACTGTGAAAGTGAAGAATGTCAGTTTTGTGGCCGGTTCACGAAAATGAGACCGCAGGAGCTTAAACTGAGTAAGAAATCATTTTCTACAACTAACTTCTACTAGGGTAGGAACTTGAAGTTCTTTTTCGATATTTTATCACTCAATCGAATGTATGAATAATATAAATGACCAAGGTCGTGATAATTCTGTTTCTTGATCTTGACTTTAGCCATGATAGAAGATGATCACGGGTTTTGAAGCTTGATTGAGTGAGATTTTCATGCAGGGCGGAAACAATAGACACGTCCATACGTGAGGGCAGTTAGTCTTATTTTGGTCATGATGCTGGGAATGAAGAAATACTATTCTGTGAGCCGTCGTTAGCAAAGAGAAGAATGGCAAGATGATAAAGGACAGTGACAATGCGATGAAGGGCATCGTCACCTTATAATATATATGTTCCAGGCACCAGGGGCCAAGGCCCCCCCGATCTAACTTTTTCAGGGGGGGCCTCCAGCCCCGGACCCTTTTAACCGAGGGACTGCCGGACGGGAAGGCCTCCAAACGCCCACCTTCGAGCCCTCGCGGCTTCTTGCCTGTACCCTACAGAACCCAAGCCCATGAGGCCGCTCAAGCACCGACGGCCGGGGGTGGAAGGCTTCCGAAGGCGGCAAAGGTGGCAAGGCTTGACCCCCTTGCCGTGTTGCTTGTACCCGACAGACGTCCCGCGTGCGGGCTCCTCACTTGGGGAGCTCCTTTGGGGGTGGAGGGGCTCCAAGGGCAGCAGGTGGCAAGGCTTGACCCCCTTGCGGTGTTGCGTGTACCCTACAGACCTCCCGTGTGCGGGCTCCTCAATGGAGAAGGTTGGCCCCTGCGGCCCCCCCAGGAGGGCCACAGGTGCCAGGCCTCGCGACCGTGGCCGCCTTCGGCGGCCTTCTTCCCCCGGAGGCTGTCACTCTGATAGGACCCAAGAGGCGGGACGCCTGTGGGGTACACGCGGAGAGCCGCCAAAAGCCTCCGGCTCCGCCTTTTGAGACCTTCCCCCCGTGAGTCCTTAATACATGTCACCACCGCGAAAAAAAGGGCGCGCGGACGCCATCGCCGCTCCATCCACAGGGGGGGGGCCTCCACTCCTGGAACATATCTAAGCATTTGTAGACCTTGAGCTATCGGCTAAACGAGTAGCTTCAGGCTCGAGTCGTGCGCCTCATTCTTACCTTGTTGATGTCGATAACCGTGTAATGTTCTTAGTGCCTGGTGCACCTCCTTTTGATTTTGTCGATATTTACCGAATTTTTAAGAGTTGAATTTTTGGAACACGCAAGGCTCGGTCTCGGATTCGTTTTACGGCCGCCCATTCAATTCTTCTTTTTTTCAAGGCGTGTTATTGTTTTTACCCTATTCCGAAGGAACTATCTTTTTGAATTATTGAAACGCAATAATTTTCAGGAGTTTCGTTTGAAGCTCATTGACTTGCGGGACAACCAGGAGGTGGTGATCTTGTTACGTGTTCTCTAGTCCTTCATTTCTGCGAGTGAATTGAAGTTGATCTCGACGGGATTCCAACGAGACTCACCTTTCGTTCGAATTCATGTACAGATGAAACTTTCGCCTCAGAAATCCTTCAGAAAGGAATGAATGACCGCCAGGGATGGCAATGGATCAATAAAAGACATCAACAAAATCAAAATGATCCTTTGGATACTCTTAATCAGAGTGTTACTGAAGATGGTTCCTTCGACGACAGCACTGACTTAGTTAGTGCTGGAGGAGAGAGTCTTGATATCACGACTAGAGAAGCACGTGAATTGTCAAATTTTTGTGACCTTATGTTGTCGCAGGATGAAGTGAGACCCCTGTTCCTGGTTCATCAAAGTAGACTGGCCCACCCCACTTTCGATTTCATATCGACGAGTTAGAAGCGCACATGGTAAATATTGGCGTTGTTTTCTTGTATCCTCAACATCTTTATTCGTTGTCTAGTTTTCCCGGTTTTTCCTACATACTAGGTGGATGTTGCGGAATACCTAGCGAATAGTTGCCTTTTGTGTTTGGGCATTCCATCGAAATCTAGCGATGGCTGTATTCACTGTTTCTTTGATCGCATGTCATCGTGAAACTGAAAGGGTTATACAACAAAAAATTGAATGTCCGTCGTTGGTCATCCACCATAATTATGGTGGAGGATTGCGGTATCTGTGTTTGCTTGCTTGGCATACAACCGTAATAAATGCAGATGGAAGGCGTCCGCGAGAGACGCCCGCCCGCCGGGCAGAGGTTGTTTGGAAGTCCCCCGCGGTCTGGGAGTAATAGCGCGGAGGAGCGGGCGACAGTGGTCTCCCAGAGTCCGCTACAAGAGCCTCGTAGTGACAGTCCAAGCGGCAAGAACGGGTCGAAGCGTGCATCAGAACAATCGCCGCCCATCAAGCTCCCGTACACAGGCTCACTGGCTAGGCACAGCGCACCTCCTGGAGATGTACAGGAAGATTCGCCACCGCGTCTCCTCGGTTCCGGCGAGGGCGTGCGGAGTGACAAAGCGCTTCTGACGAGTGGAGGCAAACTGTTGGGGAGTAAGGCCAGTGTGGACATGAGGCGGGATGCCCGGTCCAAGAATAGTGCAGTGGACGATGTTGCGCCGCTAGGGTCGTACACGCGAATGCTTTGCCAACCGCTTTTCTTGACGAGGGATTTCTTTTCAAATGTGCTTGAATATCTGGAACTCACTCCGACTCTCGCTTTTCTTCACGGAATGGTGTTTTGCGCCGTGCTCAGTGTCTGCGTGCAGGACAAGATACGTGAGAAGGTAGCTACACTTATAGCATATCGTTTTAACTCGAGTGCCCGGTAAAAGTATAGGCTTGATTGCAACTGTGTGGAATTCGACTCTTTTTGATCTAGAATGTTAGTTGATCCTGTTATAAATATATGAAGTGGAACTTCGGGTTTAGGCCCAGGCGTGGCATGCAGTACATTAATCAAACAACCTCCAGGCCCACGAAGAGGCGTCGATGTCATTTTTCGCAAAGAGTGGTTTTAAGCAGCCTTTGATGCCAGTTTCGGCGTATGAGGAAACTTTTCAGCTGCTGTCTTTCGCAAAGATTGTGCTTCGAGCCCTGTGTTTTACGTTTGCGCTTTTTCGTTTTGTCGGCGTTAAGACGAAGGAAGAGAAGGCAGCTACCGAGCGTGAAAGCTGGTTGGGCTACTTCATATCCAACTCCTTCACCGCTCTGTGGCCGGCGAGTTCACGTGGCGTTCTAGCGGTGTTCTTTTTCTGCATCAGTCGCGGTGTAGTTGAGAGTGCTTTTTTCTTCGTCCAGTACCTAGAAATCGTGGATCAGCTGCCCTCGAATGACGATTCCTCGCTTGTCTGCGAAGTCTTCGATGGCTTTCGGTTAGCTCCATATGAAAAGCTTTATGACTACTTGTCCCTGCTCATTTTATCAGAATGAAATACAATTACAAGCAGAAGTAGATTTGGTATTCATGATTCCACATCCAGCGACCATGATTTATTTCGCCAATGAATGTGAGACCACTACGCACTACGTCGCAAGATATATACATTCTCAATCAGGTCAGTGTTTTTGAAATCGATCCTGATTCTTGGGCTTTTCGTGGGGCACCGTTATATTCAAAGCGAGAATGAGCCCGAGGAGTTTGAATCGTGGAGTTCATACATGGCGGCCTTTGGCAGTGATGTTAACGTGGCGCCAGAAGGAGAAGTGTACGATCCCAACGACATTCGGCACACGCACATGATGAGCACACCGGATGTACTTATACATGCTTGATGTTTGTTACGTGTGTTTTTGCTGGCGCTTTTATGACATAGAAGTTGGGGTAATAATTCGCGTCAAAACATTTAGGATAGAACCGAAAATACTTTTAGCGATGAAGGTAATCGAGGCAATTTTTTTCATAACAATATTACAGTGCTGCAGCCTCCAAGGCAGCTTTACCAGGGTACACCATACAAAACAGGGTGCGAGAGGCAACTCCAAGACGACACCTGCTGTGCATTCGGAGGCCGCTAGCACACACCCGGCCCCGAGTCCAGAGCCACTCACTTCGCCTGAGAAGTTGCGTCAGCGCAGAAAGCCTTTAGCGCTCGATATCGAGGGACTCAAGAATGGGACCAATACGGCATCGCCCAGTTTGGTGGTGGTGGACCGCGACAAGACTACGGCACAAAACAAAACTGTTTCAGGCGAAGGAGGTGAGAAAAAGAAAAAAGATGAAACCATGAATAAAGGAGAGTCGAAGGACGCAGCTTTCGAGAACAAAAGCGGGAGTAATGATACGGGTACGCAGACGCAACCGTCCTCCAGCACGTCAACAGCAAATGGAGACTACCCAGGAGACCAATCTCTCGTGGAATCTGCACCTTTTTTCTACGAACAGCCAATTATGCTCAGCTCCCCGGAGCTTGGCCGAATCAACCGAACCCGTAGCCAATCCTCGTCCGCGCAACACCAGAAACAAGCGGCCAGTGGGGGGAGCATGCAGGTGGGCGGTGCTTCCTCATCTACGGCCGACTTAGCATCGATGGGGCGCCGTCGCACATTGAGTGACGATGTGCAGAATGATAGTGTGTGCGCTGGACCGGATTCTCAGCTGTACTCGCATTTGAATGCCGGGAACATGATCACGTCTGACGGAGCAAGGACGCCATCTTCGGGTCGAGGGGAAGGACGGTCGCTCCGTGCTAGCGCACAAGCGAGCGCTGAAAGCATAACGGCATCGGCGATGAAGTATCTGTCACGCAAAAATAGCGATGCAGGCGATCCAAGAGTAGGAAGCATTTATGCTGGTGAGGCGCGGTCTCCTACCCCGGAACACTTACCCACGCGACCGAGTCCAACTCGGGCAGGCAAGAATAATGCGACGTGGCACGCAGGCGCATCGAAGCGGGAGAGCCTGGAGTCCCTATTTCTCCCTCAACCTGCGTCCGGTCCACATGCTGGAGGTATCCCACAAAAGTCCGGTAGTAAGAAGCCATCTACGTCTGGGAATGCTCGTCTGTTACAAGGCCCTCCGTCGCCTAAGCGCTCTCCAACTCTTTCCGGGGTCACTCAGAACCCGAGCCCGCGGTCCGGTTCGGGGTATCCCCGTTTCCCTGCGCATCGTTTTACCTCACTGGAAGCTCTTCCCCTTGCCTCAAAGAACGCCGCGAGTTGTGAGCAGGGCTTATCCTCTTCGTTATTGCAGTTTGGCGGCCCCTCTTCCCCACTCTCAGGTACGCACTTCGGTAATTTACTGGCTGTCGCAGGAGCGACTGGTTCACTCCTCACATCGTCGCCGTCAGGAGGTAGCAATACAATTGGAGGCGCCACGGATCCGAGGCTAATGCGACATAAGCCGGGTTTGGCCGGAGTCGCTTTTGGTCCAGGAGATGCGCAACCAGTCCCAGTATCGTCTTCGGGGCCGCGTCCGATCCGCCGTATTCTTGGCAATGGAGGAACGCTGGGATCATCGAATGCCGCCATTCACACGCACGACGTGCTCATGTCGGGAGCGGGACTAGACGACACCAATTACTCATCAGCACAGGAGCGATCTGGTGATCGCAATTGGTTCTTGTTGCAGCCAAGAAAGCCTTGGCAACCACGACAACTGTGGCGAAAACTGCGCTTTTGCGTCTTCGGGCTGGATCCTTTCTCCCAGCAGTTGAACAGCTACGCATGTTATTTCGCAGGTTTTCTAGTGTCCTGTTCTGTGATCGAGTGCATGGGTGAAGTCTTCGTCTTTCAGACAGTAGCGCAACAGACGTGGCTCGGCCGTCGTCTGATCACGGGGAACTGGCGCCATGCCGTTTACATGGTTTTGTTTTATCCGCTCGAGTCCGCAGTTCTGTTTTCCGCTCTATACCTTCTAAGGCGGTTTGTGTTAGGCAAAGCGCAGGACCCGGACTCGCACGTCGCGCGCTTGGTACGTGATCTCTCTCGTGGGCTCATTTGTTTCGGACTCATCCTCATGTCACACCGCGTCTGCTCAGGGTTGTTGTCCTTCTTCATCACGCTGGAGTGCAAGCACATTGAAAACGAGATCAACCTCTTCATCGAAAAGTGGCGCAGCTTCACGCGGAAGCAGCGGCAGCAAAAGTACCAGCGACTAGCAGACACAGTGCGGGTTTTGGATCAGAAGCTGTTTCTAATTCTTCACTTTGTCTTTACCGAGCATATCACATATATTCTTCTGGATATGGTGGATGCGCGCTGTGCTCTAACGCGCGGACGACACCTTGGCCTTTTCGTGTTGCGACACGTGATCGGTGTGTGCTTGGCGTGCGTGGCGCTCTGGCACGCAGGCGTAGTCAACTACGCGATCTACGAAGGCATCTGGTCCAAGGTTGAGCGGGAACGCCTGCACCTACGAGATGATCAGGTTCTCTATCGTAGGGAACTGAAGGATTGGGGATCGTTCCTGACTCACGGAAGTCGGTGGAGCCGTTCTGTTTGCATCCGGCTATTCTTCATGCGATACGCGCTGACGAGCAATGTTGTCATGGGGCTGATCGTTTCCCTCGTTCTTTGGCCCGCAATCGCCAAAATCATCCTGGCAATTGGTTAACCTAGCTGTACAGGAAGTTCTTTTGACAATTTTGGGCCGTAAATACTTAATTGCTGATGGAACAACAACCCTTAGAAACCTGAAGGCACCCTGAAATTTAGGCAGCAGCCCTGCCACCCCAACGTAGCTATCAACTACATGTCCTTACTTCGCCTTGGATGGTCTCCCCGCTTTTCGATTTCAGCTGTTCTTCGTTTTGGTAGACGCGACCAGAAGATTTCGACACCACAGACTCTCCCATTTTTCATTCACATAGCTACAGTGGTGCTAGCTTCTCGATCTGTATTTTCTGGAACCGATGCAACAGTGAAATACAGTAAAATATAGTGAACCTTCAGACCATAAGCGGTATCTTATCTCGCGAGTCCTAGTAAATTCAACCGTCCGCATACCGAAAATGTTCCGTGTTCTATAGAGGATCGATGGGAGTACTCCTACTCCTGTGTGATTTGTGGTAAATAAGTAAAGAATGCTGGAGTCGTGAAACGCAAACACACTCATCGTTACTGAAACATGTTATGAGTTATCGGGGAATGTTGAATGAGACCTGCTGCTTGTCGTTGTTGAGTTTCTTCGCAAATATCGAAACGAATCGGTCGTGTCAGTTTTTCTACCAGAGTTCCGTGAGAGCGTGCCGCGTACGAGAAACCAATCACGAACTCGAATCAGCGAAGTCTGTCAAAAGAATTGTAATTGAACGCGTCCTGTTACGATTCGCCTGTCGGTTCGCAGAGGTGCACACCTTGTTTCCCAGCTTTAGCTTATGTATCGCTATGTCGGAGATCGTCCCCACTCCTCCTTGTTTATTATTCCTGGTGTCCTCATACTCATTGCCATGGCATCCGCTTCGTCGAGCTCCAAGGTAGTTGGTAACAACTACCATAAGAACGGGCACGGTGCGTGAAGTGATTATCTAACCCATAATAACTAGGGCCTATCTACGATGTATTGCATGTCCAAGAACGATAAAAAAGATACTCAACTCCTCCTATCAGGTAAGTTGAAATCTGAGATGATGAACAGGACGTAGGCGACGGCTTTCCTTGATGTAGAACTGATGATGATTTTCTTTTCTGAGAACAATTTCATTCAATTTCTTAACTTACTTCCGGTGAAGTTCGCTGGATTTTTATGGCAATGTTGAAGGCAGAGACCGCCGACACCCCTGGGAGCTCCAGCTCCACGGACGAGCCAGGAGAACCTTCCCCGAAAGGAGGCAGCGTCGAGGACGTGAGTGATGTCATCGTCGAGGTCGGCTCAAGCAGCAGCAAAGACAGGACGGCTGCGAAGAATTCGAGTAGTGCGGAAAATGACGAGGAAGACGATGAGGACGATGCGGAGTTACACCAGCATCAGCCAGACATCGCGGCACTGGTGTTACAGGGTCAGACGGAGCTGCAACTCGCTGCGGCCAACGATGAGCCAGCGACACGGCAAATCGTAGCGACTCTTCCGGGTGAGGTGTCGCAGAAGAGACGCTCTCACATTCGTGCGAGGCTGTCGCATGCCACCAAGCGCCGCCATGTGCATGCATTTGTGAATAGCCGCAGCGGCGAAGCAAAGACGGGTCTACGAGTCATCAAGGAGGTGCGTCTGTTACTTGGCGACCCCGCTGTTCCACTGCAGGGTGCCGTGGAGGGGGATGACACCGAGGCTGCTGACGGTGGGGGCATTGACGTCGTGGTTGCTGACGATGTTGAAGAAGACAGTGGCAGCACGACAAGTAGTCGTCCCGACGTGAAGGGAACAGTTGTGGTGGCAGACGCAGCCACGGACTACGGCAGTACCAAGAAAAAGGACGTGGACCCACCTAAGAGTCCGAATACACAGCGCAGGCAGAACTCCACGAAAGCTGCGGCTGCCTTCGGTTTCGTCTGCGATTTGGGTGAGGAGAATGTCGCTCTTTTCGTTATGAACCGTGTGAACGATGGGGACGTGCTTCTCGTTTGCGGCGGCGACGGCACGCAAAACTTGGTGATGTCCATCCTGCAGGACCTCGGGCCGCGTGCACCCCGTGATGTGGTGCTCGTCCCAGTACCGTTAGGCACTGGAAACGACTGTGCGCGCGCGCTCGGCTGGGGCTCAAGGGTAAGCTCTATGGCAGACCTCGCAGATCGCGTGTTGGCCGCCCAGTCTGATGCGCTGCCGCGCCCACTCGACGTGTGGGAGGTGATTATCGTGCCGCACGTGCGCGGCCGTGATGTGGCAAACAGTTGGTGTGGCCCGCGCGCGCTGAAGCGTTCGCGCTCGACCCTTACTCGCATTCAGACGCGCGGTACGCGAAAGCGCCGCTACCTCCTCCGACTAATGCGGCAACACGGCATGCTTACGGACGACTTTGCTGCGTGGAATGCAAACAATGACTATAGTGAGGACGGCGACTCTCACCACGCAGAGCAACATCAAGGCGATCGGGAGGCAGACGAGCAGAGCGCAGTTGGGTTCCGCGATCTCATGGACGCATCCACAACAAGTGCGTCGGAAGTCGACACTGCGGTCGACTCGACGAAAAAATCGTCGACGCCACGCACACCCGAAGGCACGAAGACAGTGAGCAAACGCGCGATGAATCTGATGTCTGAAACGCCCATCTTCCACGCCTATTTTACGGCTATTTATTTTAATTTTTCATTGATGTCCGGTGTGACGTAGAATAAATTCATCGTGAGTGAGATAAAGTGAATCCCTTCTGATTGCGACTTCTAGAGCACGCAGGGCAGACGCACAGACTCACGTTGTCAAGAGCAGGGTGATTACAAATATTTATAAGGAGACATCGACGTCTAATTATTGGGTGAATTATTTTCAGATGGGTATGGCTGGCGAGATTGTGCACCGCGTAACGAACAAGCGTGAAACCCGATGTGGACGCTGCTGTTTTGCCCGTGGTTACGGGCACTGCATCTTCTCGTGGGCCGGCATTGAGTTCTTTTGCTGTTCCTGCGAGCCCTTCATGGCGGACGCACTTGATTTTGCTGAAGTGGAAGCGGCCACTAATGGTGTTACTCACAGTGATGCCCGCGCCTCAGACGAACCGCCGGTCGATAGAACCAGGGACACCGAACACCATTCAGATATGACATGAAAGAAGTGTTTCTTTTCTCTGTAAGCAACATAATCGATGAAAGTACTGCACTAACTTGTTGAGGATGAAAAGCCCTCGGGCATTTTCTTTCTCTAAGCACGGAACCAGAGGGGGCGATGAGAGAACGAGCCTTTTCACTGAAGATTCGCCAGGACGGAAGAGTGAAGATCTCATGAACTTGTTGCGCAAACGCAAAGCAAGACAGTTAACCTTGCTCAATATTCCGAGTATGATGGCTGGCAAAGCAAAGTTTGCACAAGAGTGGACCGGGAAGCAGAAATCTGATGACGGCAACTTCGAAATTTTTACAATGCAACGATTTTGTTCGCTCGCCAGCACGGGGGCGGGTTGCTCAGAGCTCAGAATGGAGAAGCAGGCGGCCGCCCTTAAATTTATGATCGTGGATCTAAATTGTGACTACTACCAAACTGTAAATGACTAGATGGTACGACAGTCTTGTTTACTGTTGTCTCATAGTCAATCGAATCAGTGACTTCGAATAGACATTTTCTACATTGATTTTAAATGTTCCCACCACCTACTCCTCCTTATATACATATTAATTTTGTTTTCATATTCTTGAGCAGCAGCGTCGGCCAGTACATGGACATCGACGGCGAAGGGTTCGCGCTGAAGGATGGCTTTGACATGCTTATCTGCAAATCTGATCGCTACCCACTGACAGTGGGCATCCGCGAGCATGCGAATAACCCGCATCACAGGGCATACTGGGAGAAACCTGGAGTTTGATAGGATACTGATTTTTTGAATGCCAAAAAACACTTATGGGCACAAGAATATACGAACAACAACTGAATACGAGAGCTTATTCCTAGGTGCAAATAAGTAAGAAGGATCGTCTAGATATTGGTTCTCGAGTTGTCTACGAAGTAGGACGGATTCCAATCTTTGCAGCTACCTCTCCAGGCTAGAAGGTAGAGGAAATATCATGTACAAAGTAGAAACTAGTAACAATTCGTTGCAAAAACGCAAAGATTATATTAACGGCATCAGAGATTATGATATTTATTTTTATCGTGTGTAATCGTTTGACGCTTCTTATCGTGTGATTTGCTACCCAGTAGTGTGACTTGTTCGTTGTCTAGTATCAACCAAGGATACTGAGTCATGAAAATGAAAAGATTTTTGTGTGGAGAACGAGATAGAAGACGGACTCCCAACGAAGAATGCATACACTGTCGTAGGTTTTAGAGCTTGATGGTGGTTGTGTGGTCCGGGAACGGAATGTCAAGTGGCGGAGCTCTGAGGTTTGCTTCCATGTTCTGTCGTAAAATTTCCTCTGTACCTATGCTTAAATGATTAAATTTTATCGGGGAATGAAGATGTTTGAAAAGTAAAACCAACAAGATTGCAACATATATTATAACGAAAATGCGTTCACTTTGATATCATGTACGAAAGGAATCGATTGCTGGATTTGGGTTACTAGCTCCATGGTTTTGAATCTCGTATCGACGTCAGCATTATGGACTACTTACTTATATCTAAGATTATCATCTTGTTGTACAAAGAAATACAAATAATAGCTGTTTTGATGATGCCAATCCTCAAAATGATTTCACCGCACTCCTATGTAGGTCCCTAGGTGTTTATGTTGGTGGAGACAGCCTCGATGTTAGTTTATGAGCCATTCGGCGCCAGGCCTCTTTGGCGCAAAGAGCCGTTGACCGAAAAGCAGTGGCAGTTTTTTTTGTAGAAAAGGACTTAATTTTTCAAAAAACATATGAGGTTCACATTCACCACAACGAGTGTGACGATGCGGTGTTGGTGAGTCTGATACGAGGGACGATATCCTATTCTGTTTGGGACTGCTTTCGAAAAACCGGCGCATGCCTTGATGGCCGAAAGTAAAAGACCACCGAGAGAATTGAACAAGAACAAAAGAGCCATGTCAGTTCGTCGACCGCCACCGTCTTTCGAGTTATACCTCGTCGCAGGAGCTGACAGCGCCGACGTGAACGATGACGTGCGCTTCATTTCGTCGCAAGAGCTTGCAGAGAATGGCTTGTTGCTGGAGCGCGCACCTGAAGTTGGCAATGTGGGAACGCTTACGCGACCCGATGAAGGATTTTATGTCCCGGTCGCACGGTTCAAGCAGTACCTCTTCGGAACGTTAGGCGGTTCACTGCTACGACGCTATGACGAGGAATGCATCGGGCGAGGTGTGGGCACAACTCTGCCAGAGATCCGAAGGATGGCGGCGGCTGGCCTTCGCAAAGAGCACCCGCGTGAGGAGGAGCAGGTGGCTGGAGAACCCCATATTAAGGAAACCCGAACGAAGTTGCCGTCGATAATAGGCAATACCCTCGGAGCCAGGGGAGCTTTCGATCCAGGCGCGCTCAGGAGTAGTCCAAGCAGGGTGCGCATTGTCGAGTCTGGCAAGCGTGGAGACGAAGCCGATGAAGAGTCACGATCGGATGGGGAGCCTGGCGCACAGTCGCCGTCGATTATTGGCCTCGATAAGCAGATCTACAACGCAGGGCAAACTGGTTTACAGCGTGAAAGAAAACCAGACAGTAGCTTCAAGGAACAACCGAATTCATTGGCCGATCAAGACCAGAAGAATGAGCAGGATGCGAACGGTTTTTTGTTGAAGGCATACACAATTTCGAGCTTCTTACAGCTGAGTTCGTTGAATTTTGCGGGCCGAAAATGGCTTCCGTCACCGCGCTTTTTAGACTTGCACTACAATCCGTCGAACCCCATGGACACTGGTAAGAACTTCGCTATCAACGTTACTCTCGAGGACCGGGAAGTGTTGTTTTTTCCAGTTATTGGGCCGCCACGGTTGCAGGTATTCATACTTGAAATCTCAGACAAACTAGTCGGTTTACTTGTCTGCGATTCCCTTCTGCTCAGGAAGGTCTAGCTCTTTTGTTGTGATGTCAAGATGTATTAGAGATTCAAATCTCTACTTCTGGATTGATAACAGCTGCAGGTAGGTATTGCCTCCACATGCTGTATCTGGGGAAGCGAAGCTTGTGTCTGGGCGCGACTTGGAGTTTCGAGGCATGGTTGCCGACCGAGATCGAAGCCACTCGCAGTTACTCGTCCAGCGCGGCGCCGCGTTCACGCTCGCGGGAGGTCCTGAATACTTGTCTTCTAGTGAGGACGATGCTGAAGATCATACCGGCAACAGGTCTGCGACTTCGAGAAAGGACAAAGACGCTAAGCCTAAGACGATTCTTTCTGCTACTCGCGACAATACAGGTCTTCATCTGTATCGGATCTCTTTGACGAGAAAACGGCTTTCGATGGAGGAGGACGTGCAACCTCTGATAAGTCGGGACGACTTATTCAATGTGGTATTGCCAGACGTTTTTGACGTGTATTCGTCAAGCGATGAGGACGCCGCAGATGCGGAGAGTCGCGCGAAGCGGGATGTCATGTGCGCACTTCCTAGTGCTTTTCCGCCGTCCTCCAGTACGAGTAATCGTAAAGCGGCTAAGGACCATCGAGCAGCTTTTTCTTCTGCACCTAGAAGGGACGGGGATGGTTCGCCGGAAACTCTAATGACCAGGCAGAAAATCAAGAGGCGAAAGAAGCGACCACGCAGAGTCGCGTGGAAAGAGGCGAAGACACAGCGCCGCGTCGTGTGTTTCAATCGGACATGGCGAAAAACAGCGGAGGGACTGCTTGAGAGCTTACTTGGAAACTCGTGTCAGCCTGTCGTCTGGGAAGACGAAGAGCAACCCAGTAAAAAGACGACCACGGCGTCTGTTAGTGTTTGCAAAAGTAAGAACACTGGAAATAAGACGAACGGTGCAGCTGCGGTTATGGAACATGAATGTGCAAATGGATCGAAAAAGGCGTTTTGCCTCGACGACTTGATGGAGCGCTACGAGATATTTCGTACTTTGATTTGGTCAAAAATGTCGGACCCAAAAACGCTTGGCGAATGTCTTACGGCGTGCGGGTCTCGCTCAAGCCTCTTTGCTGCTTTGTCTGCGATCGTAGGACGCGAGGTCCGCAAGCAGGACTCTCAAACGAGTGGTGATATTTTCGATTCCGGGGGCTCCGGAGGACAGCCTCAACGCAGGAAAACAGCGAAGGAGAAAGCGTTACTACGAAAACTGCGGAAATGGGTACTGCTTCCGTGGCAAAGACTCGGTCCACGCATAGCGACGCTTCGGGAGATGCGCTTCGTGCTCCAGGAACTCTTTGATTTGGTGTCTTCTAATGACGCTTTCACGATCGATAGCACTGATAACGAACTGCTTGACTTGCTGTGCGCAGGAAACGACGATAGCCGGAATGTGGATGATGTTGTAGGCAAGAATCGGAACCACGGACAAGGACACTCCGAGTCGTCGAAAGCTGCTTCAGCCGCATCACATCAAGTTAGTGGAAGCGTTCGATACGAGTGTCGTGATGTGATGCGTGCGGGAGGCGAAAATACAGGTGGCAAGAGCCAGCGAGCAGGGCGATGCCAGAAGGTGACGCGCATTCTCGAAACAAACGCCGCCGAAATCGTTCGCAACGTTCATACTGCACACGCGAAGGGCGCGCTTGGGAGTACCAGGATAACGCAAAGCAGACTGGTATTACCGCACCGCAAGAATGACAGTGTCGGCGTTGATGGAGCACACGAAGAAGAAGACTGTAGTACCACTCACACAGCCGTGAACTCGTACATAGAAGATGGCGAAAATTACGCTGCGGAAACGGTGCTTTTCGATTTCAATCCAGCGAGGTTGCGACCGATGAAAAAGCAATTGTGCTTGCGGGCACCCGCTGGTGGGGAGAAACTCCCTGTCTACACAGAAAGGGCAGACTTGGAAGTTCTACACAAAAAGGGCAAAAAGGGCGTGAAGAACAATATGCCAGACACAAGCGACGGTGAGCATGCTTCCGATAGATCGGCATATGATCCGACGAGAGACGGCAACAAGCGCGACGCCGCACAGCATCGTGGACCTTCGTCGAGTCCGTCGCCCAAGCGCAGTGCATTGACCGGAGAAGTGATAGACGAGGAGAAGGAAAAGCGGCACCGGTTTCGTTTTGGGAAGGATGACACTGCAACTCTGATAGGCAAATCGACCGTCCGGATGACAAAAGAACTGACAGACGTACTAGGTGGTGTTTTCAACCTTTCTGGTGATGAAGCCGAGGATGATGCTGGAGGTGGAGACGGAATCAGCATGGGCGTTGGGGGTGCTGGACCAAGTAGCATGGCTAGTGGTGGTGGACACGGATGTAACGGCTCAGCTACGATGTTCGCCAAGAATCGTTGCCTCGTTCCGTTTTTCCACGTGTTGTGCCAGAATGGGCCAACGGATCTGCTCGAAGACCTAATCCGTCTGTGGGATCGTGGCGATTTGCATGCGTTGGAACGCTTCGTGCTGCCAGACGAGTTACACCCGCAACCAGAATATCATGCGCTCGCATTCGAAGAGCAGGAGGCACGTGCGCGATTGCGCGGCCGCACTTTGGCATCAGGTTTGGGATCACCGAAAGCGCATGCGCACAACCAGGGACAGAGTGACCTGGGTTTTGATGACGAGGCATCAACAGTGAAGAATTTACCGGTTTACAGCGCTAGTACTGGAGACAAAAGCTCAAAGGCGATAATCGATATCGACTCGATATATGATGGAAGTGTGCGGCTACTGACGGAAAATGAAGTTGCTCAAATTGCAGCAGCTGGCGATCTTGCCTCCTCGATGATAACTGACGCTGCTGCGCGGGGCAAGACCGCAAAAAGGACACCATGTTGTCGCAGTCCTGCAGAATCTGTAAGAGATAGTAAAGCAACGCCGACTTCTTCTCCTTCGTCGTTGAACAAGAAAAGCCCAATGAGAGCGACCTTCGTGCGAGGAATCGCAGCCGATACGTCCATCCCGCTCGGTGAGCGGCTTGACGCGCATGACGCATGGCTTAAGCGCACGGTCTTTCTGGCCACGCCTATGCACGCTGCCGCGAAAGGAGGTCGTATCGACGTCTGTCGCATGTTGCTACAGTGCGAAGTCGATGCTTTGCGGCGAGACTCTTACTTCGGCCCAAAAGGCCGTGCTGGTCGTCGTTTTGCGCAAAACTTCTCTGGGATTTTGGAGGCCCGCGACCAAAAGGGTTGGACGCCGTTGCTGAACGCGTGCGAACGGAACGAGTTGCCGATGGTGCGGTTCCTATTGCGACAGCGTGCAAGTCCCAATACACGCGGATCCGTGCGCGGCGAAACTCCACTTTACTTGGCAACAGTGCGTGGCAGTGTGCCTCTTGTCAAGCTTCTGCTCGAGTGGGATCGTCGGCAAGCGACACTAAGTCTTGACCCAGATGGCCGCGTTGTTGTAGCAGTAGCTCGCAGCGGATCAGCAATAAAAGAGACTTGTGCCAGTATGCCGCCTATCAACAAGTCGGCAGATACAGTCGTGACTTCTTCTGCGTCATCGTTTTACGAAGATCTAGTGGGAACGCAGGACGTGGCGAAAGTAGATGACGTTTTTGATCGCGAAGACGACGATCCACCAATTGTCGATACGAGCTTGTTGGAGACGAGTATGCAGGATTCTGAATCTGAAGCCTCCCCTTCAGAGGACGCGAAAAGCTCCGCAGCGGGCTCGCAAGTTTCCTCACGGCGGAAAAGCGATGAAAAAACCTCGATAAACGAAGTTCAAAGCCTGATGATGAACAATAGTCCCGATTCTAGAAAACAGCCGAGAAGTAAGCGTACACGGAACGCGGCTGTTTCCGCGCCGAACTACGCAGCACTCGTGCGAGGCGAAAATGACGGCTATTTGGACGATTATTTTCGCGATGTGGCTGTCTTCGGTAAAACAGATGATGGTGGGTCTTCAAGTGATAACTCGCTGTTTTCAGACGAAAATATGGCTATGAGCGTGCCGCGACGAACGAGAGCAGCAGAGGTTTCGAGGTCCGGAGCGACGGCTCTGCGTCGGGGAGCGGGCAGCTTCGGCAACAACACAAAAACTTCGGCATCCAAGGCAGAAGGGTTTGTGTTTCCCCGACTTGATCTCAATCCGCGCATAACACAGACGGGAGAAACGCCGTTAGCTCGAGCATGCTGGGACGGCGATGCTGAAATTGCCAAGCTTCTGCTTGAAACTCTAGTTAGTGCATCATCAAATCAAAAAGAGGAGCAGACGCAACCACCTGACATGCGGAACAACCCTCAAGAGACAAACCGAGTCCACATCAACACGCGTGATGGAGCTGGACGGACACCGCTGCTGCACGCGATAATGGGTGCGAAACCGGCTCAAATGCTCAAATTACTTCTCGACTATCGATTTTCACAGCAACCACGTCGTGATCCTTCCAGGCGAAAGAGAAGACAAAGTAAGAACATAGCAGGCACCATGAACAACAGTAAGGGGGCACACCAACAACAACTATCAGTGTCACCGGAAAAAACTACCGCTGTCATTCCAACCAAGTTGCTGAGTCCGCGTCGCCAACGCCAGATGCATTTTGGAAAGGACGCTGTATTTGCTGACGACGCTGCCCTAGAACTACCGGACAACTCGCCGTTCCGCAGAAAACCTGGCTCATGGAAAGCTGATCTCGGATCGCCGATGAACAAGCTCTCGGCTAGTCCATCAGGTAGAGGCACATTACTTCCTGCGCTTGTGCCACCACTTTACAAGGAAGACTTTGGCAATGAAGTTGGGGAGATGGGAAAGAGTCCAGGCACAGGCAATTTGTTTTCTCCGAAAGCAAATCGTGGCGACCTGGTCGTGACCGCGGTAGATTCCTCAGACGAAAAAAGCCCACACACTGCACTGCCAGGGTATCTACTTCCTGCAGAGGAGGAAGTTTTGGATCTGAACACGAAGCTGGTCGTTTCTGGACGGACCGCTTTGAGTCTTGCTGTCGATTTCGAGAATCATGCTGAAGCGCTGGTAAAGACATTGCTCACGGCGGATCTTATTTTTCAGCATCTTCCTGCGCGGTTGACTCGCGGCCACGCGCCACTTGACGTGAACGCTGCGGATGTGCTGGGGGAATCGGCTCTCTTCAAAGCGGTAGACGCAGGTCGCTTGAAGTTGGTCAAGCTGCTGCTATCGCACAATAGCATAGACGTTAATCAACGTGTCCTGCTGCCGGTGGATCAAATAAGCGGGAAAAGCAAGCGAACTCCCGTTGCTGCCGAGGCGGAGGCGCCCGTTGAAGCGGATGCGGCTGACAAAAATGCGAAAGGAGATGACGCAGCGGATGAGGGAAGTCCGCCTTCCGCTGTCGTGTCGTCAACATCAAAGAAAGCAGTGCATTTTGCCGGCAATGAGGATGCCAAGAAGAACAAGAAACACAAAGAAGGTGTGTCTGCCAAGAAAAAGAAAAGAAAGAAGATCAAAGGGCGTGATGTCACGAGAAGTGGGTCAGACAGTAGTAGTAGTAGTAGTAGTAGTAGTAGTAGTAGAAGGCCCAAACGGGGAAAAAGGAGGAAAAATATGACAAGAGACAGTAGTCCCGATTCAGATGGAACGTCGGGTGTCATCCAAAAGGCCTTGAAGCTTGTAGATACCAGGGAAGGCAGCCATCGGGCATCAGACCCGGACTCGGTTGAAGATAGTTCGCCACCAAAAGGTAGTCCTATTCGTGAGAAGTCATCAGGGGAAGGAATTGCGGGAGCCGCAGCTGTGACATCGAAAACGATCGCTGATCTATCTCCCGGGGGAAGAACGCGAGGGTCCGCCACCACACCGGTTCAGGGCGCAACTGCCGCTCCCGTGACACGCAAAACAATACCAGATCTGGCGTTTTTCAACCGCAATAGTCCGACGCGCAAGAGTTCGCCTGGTGGCAAGACCAAAAAGAGTGATGGATCCACGAGGCCTCCAGCGAAAAAACCACCACCTAAGCGACAGCATCCTTCGGAGGGCAAGACGCCGTTCCTGCGTGCAGTGGAGCTGAGGAATGTGGCACTTGTTCAGGCGTTTTTGACATGGGACCAACACTTGAGAGACGCAAACTTCTTCTTGCCAGAAGATTTGGTCGCTATCGCAACAAAGCAAGAGGCGCAGACAGCACAGGAAATCGCCATAGCTGAGGGGGAGAGAACGGAGGCACAACGCAAGGACGGAGTACAGGGTCTGTATGTGCTAGGCGGCGAACAAGCTCTCAAACAGCGCGTGGCCGATGAGTTCCGAGCTCAGGGCGAAGACGTATCCGACGCCTTAGAAGAAGGAGGCTCCTCCCCCGATACTGGGAGTCCTACGTCTGCTACTCACAAAGCAGGAAAGAACGGAAGTTCACCATCTACCGCAGCTAAGCAGACCAAAGGCGGCAATACGCAGAAGAGTAAGAAAGCCACACTGAAGGACTTGGATCCTCCGCCACCTGAAATACCGGACTTCAGGTCTGAGGAGCCTGTCTTGCAGGATAAAATCGAGTTTTGGAATTCGGAAATCGCTCAAATTTTTCGACTCACAGTTATCGTTGGTAAGAAGGTATCCTACACTTCCAGGGCGCTGCGCTCGTGGCACGGAAAAAAGTGGGACACAGCTCAGGTCGTCAAGATTCACAATTGGCATGATGAAGACGTTGCCACGACAGCATCAAAAGAACAGAAGTCTCTCTCGTCCAGCAGCGTGAATGACATCCGCATTACGCTAGAGCAGGAAACGGGCCGCGGTGGCACAAAGCAGTTTCATGTAGCCCGGCACCAAATAAAGGAGATAGCCGATGCAGAACGCATCAAGCGCGAGCGGGTGAAGTCGTTTTTGAACGCTAGGGTCAAGCAAAGGGCAACACGGGAGCAAGCAAAGGGAGACGCGCTGAAAATATTGATGGAGACTATGGTCGAACAAGACGCGCAATTGGCTAGTCAGAGTAAGCGCAATAAGTACTTGCGCGACACGACTGCTGCTCAGAGAAAAACTTTATGACAACTAGAAGACGCTCTGAGTCGTAAGCGAAAAAAAATCAAAGGATTGCCTCGTGATTTCTCTCTCTCCCAATGAGAAGTAAGTGGCTACTTCGAGAATGTGATTAATGTTACCGTCATGGTATCAAAGCACAAGCATCTCACTACCAGGAAATCAATCCACTTACTTATTTCAAATTTTATTTACCAGCTTTCATGACAGCATGAGGAAGATTTCGATCCCGACGCTGCCACTTTGCTAGGAGTCGACGTTCTTGCCGTTGATGCAAATTTAGTGCGTCGTGTTTACGCGGAAGAAAGGGAACGACGTGAACGAGAAAAGTGGAATGAGAAGGCTGCAGTGGACGGCGAAGCGGATGATGTTATTGATATTGATCATGAAGCAAATATGAGCCGTAAGCCTAACGCAGCATTGCCAGACGACGCAGTTGTGGCCAAAAATGTGGACTCCGGAGCGAGCCCCAAAACCGCTTCTAGATCCAGTAAGCAAGAACGTCGGAAAAGAAAATTGTTGGAGGCTCGCTATTCTAGACCACTTGACCCCAATTGTCAGGATCTCTACACAGGGAAAACGCCATTGATTCTCGCTGTAGAAGCGCAAGACATGGAGATTATCTCGCTCTTGTTGAGTCATCCTTTTTGCGATCTGTATCGTACATGCTACGAAGGAATGACGGCGAAAATGCATGCGCTATTGCAGCCCATTGGTATGAATCGTGATCGCATCGTCACCATGCTAGATAAGGAGCGACTCCAATGAATAGCGTTTGTTTTCTTAAGACATAACGAGTACACGTAGGTACGCAAAGCGGGGCTCATTTTTAGGATCGAGGTCTAGGTGTGAAGTAGGCCCATTTCTTCTCTTTCACAGAGAATCAAATTTATTCGCTCCACAAGAATCAAAAAATGTCTTGGTGTTCTGAGGAGTACAGCTGGTCGTTGCTATCCTGTTGTGGCACGCCTTTGTGTCGGTTGTGAATTTTACTTCTGAAGATATGGCGTCATCTTTAGGGCCTGGTGATGAAAAATTATGATTTTCTTGGGTCTTCAACGATCTAGCGGCAATAAGACTGGTAAATGCTACAACAAACATCTGCTCACGTCATGTCTTCGCCCTCGACGAGCTGGGATCTATCATTGGGGCAGTATTGCTACGCTTCGCAGACATTGTGGGTGACACTAGATGTGGAGGAAAGGATCCTTTCATAGAAAGTTCTACGTTTATGTTGATGTCGTTTTTCAACACCATTATTTTCAAATATTTATACATTCTTGTCTTCATTCAGTTTGCTTCTGTTTAGACACAGGTTGGTGAAATAAGATGGCAGCGGCGGCACGTGTGGAGAGCCACCAGCAGAATGAGGTGGATGAACTGAAGAAAGCTGTGCTTTCCTGTCGGGGAAAGGCACAAGAACTTCTTCTGCTGAAATCCGGCTACTATAATAAGTGCAAAGGAATTCGTGAGGTCCGATGCACATTGCTGGCGTCTACTCACGATTCCTCAGCCACACCTTCGTCAGCAAATGGCAAGCACGCCAATGGCGAAAGATCAAAATCTCCCAATTATAGTACAAATGCCACCGGAATATCGCTAAGTCATCCGAGTTCCCCATCTACGCCAAGCTCAGCGTCTCGAAAGGTGGTTCATTTTATCAGACACGGGGAGGGCAACCATAACGTGGCGCAGCGCGAGTGGCGGGCGCGAAAGGACTTCGGTGCGTACAAGTCCGAGGCGTGGGATCGACTGAGTGAGCCTTATACGATCGATAACGATCCGAAGTATCGCTTTATCGATGCACAGCTAACAGCTGCGGGCCAGGCACAAGCGGAAGCACTGCGCGATCCGTTAGCAAAGACAAACTGGCAGGCTCATGTAGATTTCGCTCTGCCCGAAGTAGAACTGTTATTAGTGTCACCACTGCGTCGTGCCACAGAGACAGGTTTGAGAGCAGCACAAGACTTATTGCTACATAGAACAAAGAAAGGAGAGGCGCGAAAGATGAAGATAGTCGCGATCGAGAACCTGCACGAAGTAGGTGGCAGGCATACGTGCGATAAGAGGTTGGACAAGGTTGAGCTCGAGAAGGAGTATAGCGAGTGGTGGAAAACTCTGGCTTTGCATTGTCAAGATGAACATGAAGTTGTGCAAAACGGCGCTCCTGAGGCGAAGCGACAGCGCACGAGCAGCGAGACGAACAGTAATCTATCTCAGTACTTAGCTTTGTTCATTCAGATTTTTTCGTGAGCTCTAGTTTTCCAAAAGCACTATGCTTCGAACGACGAAGACAAACATGTTTGATTCTTTCTTATCCAATGTTGAAGCCTTGTTGTATTATTGCATCAACAACTACTGCCCAGGTCAACCAGAAACCCCGCCGCGCATTGATTTTTCGCAGCTTGAAGACACTGACGCGTTGTGGCATGAGACTGAAAGGGAGAAGCCGGCTTCGTGTGCAGCAAGAGCAGTCGAAGTAGTGAAATATTTACAATCGTTGCCAGAAACACACATCGTCATAGCAGCACATAGTGCACTGCTACTCACGCTGTTTAACGCGGTCCTCACATTCGACAGCAATGCTCCAGAGAATGCCTCCGCGACCGGGTGGTTTGGCACAGGAGAAATGCGGAGCGTCCTGATGGAATTTCTGCCCGCAAGTGAAAAATGACGTCGTTGGTGTTGAAAGGTATAAAGGTAAACACTTCCTGTTCCCAAACCTTAATTTGAGTATGCTTGTTCAATAAGCACGACACAATGAAGAAGGCCCAACCTCATGATTGCGCTGAATCCTAAAGTCGGAAAAAACTTTTTTCGCACCTTCTCCTACGCTATGATCTTTGTTGCAGTACCTAGTTCTTTTCTGTTAAGTGTAAGACTCTATGGACTTCATTGGCAATGCGCTATCTAGGAGATACTTCGAGAAGAATCCATCTTCTCGGTTGTGATCTCATGACTGCGCAGTGCTTTATTCATTCTATTTCGCGCTTGCAGTTTTACTCTCTCGGTCAGGGACAACATTTTTGATTGGTACTGCTGAAGAACCTCTGTTGTCAGTGAAGGCATTGCTCCGAAGGAGGTAGAGCTGTCGAGTTGAGATCATAAAAGAGAGCATGTTCCTGAATTTCCGTGGAAAAGCATTTGCTGATGAATTTTATTTTATTGATACGAATTTCTATGAGTATGATCATCGGTAATCAATGTCGGCGAGCGAAGTACCCCAAAAACGAAAATCCAAATTCTAGAGGGCAATAATCACTGTGTAAAATCCGCCGCCGTTTGATGTTTGCGCTTTCGATTTCTTGGAGCACCATTTGAGGTGGAGTGTCCTCAACCCGTTGCGGGGGCCCGGTATAAGCAATGATCCTGCATGTTTTTGTCATTTTCCACGAGTTGTGAAAAAACAAGCAGGACTCACCAAAATGTTTAGCAAAAATGTACGAGCGTCTTCTGCTAAGGTACTCAGGAGTACAACTACAACTGCTCTGCTGCAACTTTATTGCGCGGCAAGCCTTCGGGTGTCTGCACTGCGACCGTCGTGGCGGCCGTTTCTGAGAGGCATCCCGCGACATGACGTTGAGCACATACCATTTCTGTCCGACATCGATGCTCAAGATTATCCTGTGGCTTACAATCCATTCGGCGAGCATAACCTGCCACGGACTAGCCCTTTTGACATCGATCCAAGCACGTCGTTACTGGCACCTTTAGCCGCAGGGTCGCGTGGAGGACGTAACTCTTCAGCGGCCGACAGAAATGTAACAACAACGGGGGACACGTTCGACAATTCACGCCTTGCTCTACCGCGAATCGAAAGTTCGACCTTGGCCTTACTAAGGCCAGGCAATCCGGGAAGTCCCGCTTTCGTTCCGGCCGCTGCAAGTTCGAATGTAGGGAGACCACAAGCGGTGGAGGAAACTACTCTACATGTCCAGTCGAGTCGTGAGGATGCCACTCTTCCAGCTCTCGGAGGGCTAGTAGTTGAAGATAGAAATGCAGGAGAGCCACTTGGACGCGGTATCATGGCAGATAGTCTGGGAACAAGAGAAGCAAGAAGTAATATTTTTACAGCGCAACAAGGAGATGAGAACGTAAAAGATGTCGAGGGGCAGGAAAATGGACCACCAGAATGCATTTTCTGTTTGGAACCCATTGAAGCCGGCGAGGACTTCGTCGCTGACTGTCCGAATGCGTTTGCGCACATAATGCACTACAAATGTGCTCAAGAGCATGCAGCCCACGTTGCAAGGAATCTTCAGACACAGACAGTACTAGGAAACCAGGAGACGCAAACAGGTGGAAACCAGGAGACACAAGCAGATGCTGTCAGCAATAGCTCGTCTTCCTCTTCTGTGGACTCGCTGTTTGTCGGCGCGCCCTCTTGGCTTCGGGGCAACGCGTCCTTCAGTGGTGGCGCGGGGTTCGCGGAGTGGCGACGGAAGGCAGCCGCAGAAAGCCAAGGGCTCAAGTGTCCCATTTGTCGCTGTCTGATGCTGTACTATCGCGGTATGCCAATCCATGTCTCAAATGGGGGCGCTGTTGGCCTGCGGATGTCTGATGACGCAACTTTGGGACGTAGTACCACAAGTAGGCCGACTCCACGTGGAGTACGCCTGTATGCGAACGGAGAATTTGGTGCGACCGGCACACAACATCAGCAGGGCCCAGAGGGAGTCCTAAATAGTTCGTCTTGGCAGTCTGGAGTCGTGCAACAACTGCGTTTAGAAGAAGATGCAGTTGCAGAACAGAGCGTTGAAGCCGACGCCGAGTTCGTCCCCTCGCGTCCTCCCGCTCCCCAGAACGCCATTCCAAGATTGCGTCGCAGATACGGGGTAGATCGGGGTGGGATAAAACTGCCGCCGGAGGTTGTAAAGCTGCCAAAAGGAAGTACGGGAGTCGTCGTCCGCGTGGCGAGACGCAGCGACTGGCCACCTGGTGAGAATCCCGTAGAAACAATCTTGCAAGGAATTGGAGCTACTGAAACTGGAGATGATGAGCGTGCAGGCACCCGAGGTGAGAGAGAAGATGATGAGACGCAATCGGATGGAAGCAGGCAAGATTCTCTAGAAGTCGGTGGCGCAACTCCTTCAGCTCAACCTGCAGTCTTGAGTTTTTTCGGAATACGTCGCACTATACCAGCTTTGCAGGAGACATCGCTAGGGGCCGTCCTTGGACATCAACGCGAACCTCGAGTACCTGACGGCACAAGGACATCGATCAGGGCAAGTCCGCAGGACCGTGGTCAGCATTACGCGATACAAGCAGGATCGACAGCGATTGAGGTGGAAGCGGACAGTCCTCGGACACTGCTCTCGGAGAGAGACAGCGTGCTTGCTCAGTCGGCGAATGACCATTATATCTCCTCGTCGTTCGATGATATGCGAACTGTCCCACTAGACTCGACAGGTTCCGACAATTCGCGGCAGAGTTCCGTTCATGTAGGAAACCAGGCCGATGCCAGTAGGCGTCGAGGGACAAGTTTGGATTATATTACAAGACGAGTCGTGGAAGATCCAACTGGAGGAACCAGTCGACGGCTCGAAATTCAACGTGAAAGTGAAGATATTCGCACCGGCCATGACGTGATCGCGGACCCCTTCATGGTCCATGGGCTAGAGCCACAGATGAATTTCCGACTTCCAAGTAGTTGTTGTCTTTTTGGGAACATTCGTCGCAGAGAAGCGGACACGGTTGGGCAACGCAACGAAGGAATCGAGGATACGAGAGCGACACCGTCACCAGAAGAAGCCACGCGGTCAAGGAGGACTGATGGCGAATCAAGATCCTCCATGGCTCGTTCCTCGCGACCGCTTCTCACCCGCGATACTTTGCGCCAGTTTGAGTCGGGTTTCACACCGTCTGGACGTAACCGGCCTTTGCAGACGCCGACAACAATGGATGCAACACCGGAGGCAGCTGGTCAAAGCGCAGGTGTCATTGACAATGCACCATTTGATAGTCATAGAAGCACAACACGCCGGAAGCGGCGGTCCAGTCAAAATACTTCTCCTGCTGCCAAAGTGCCACCTCTGACTGCAGCGGAAATGCATTTTTTGCGATTTTCGTTGCAGGTAATGGCAGCGAACGAAGGCTGGCTACGCGTCCCGTTGGAGAGAGAGCTCTATCCGGAATATGGTGTGGTTGTGAAGTTTGATCACTTAGAGCATCCGGTGCTCGTGCCACCCTCTCCTTCGCATACTTTGGCGGAATCAGTGTCCACACAAATCGCCCAGCGACCGCGCGAGCTGTTGCAACATATTTTAGGGCCTGACCGGGAGCAGACGTTTCGCGAGGCAGAAGGAGACGATGGATCCACTTTGGAACTGTTGCGCGACGCGCTTGCTTTCTCCTACCCAGATCTTGGACTAGCAGGCGCTATCCTGCCGAACACAGGTAATGCGGGAGCGGGAACGCTTCGGCAGACTCCGGACCTTGGAGGTGGAACCACTGGAATAGAAGAGCCTGCTCCTGCGGGAAACAATGGCGGACAAGAGCGTGTTGCTCCTGCTGGGGGACAACGGACCGAGCCGAATGGTGCAACCCCGCGTAACGAGAGGCTGCAGGGATTGAGGAGTATGTTGGACGCGTTTCTGTACCCTGTCAGGTTTTTGCTTCGCCAGGACCAGGATAGTACAGTCACCGTGACATCTAACAGTGGCGAAGGCACAGGAGGAGGGCTTGACGCGGCGGCTTCTCCAGACAACTCTCGCCAGCGACGCGTGCCACGGCCGAGTGCACGGGCGGCAGCCAATATCGCCAGGACGTCGGGGCGCTTCGGAGTCAGGATCGGACGTGGTAGAGGCGGGGGGGGTCCGAGTCAAAGAGGCTTCTACGCAAGCGTGTATAGCTCAGCGCTTTTCGGCGTCTGGCTTGCCGAAAATATGTTCATCGACTTTCTTCAAAAACCGATTACCTATGGCGTTCGCGTGCTCCGACCCGCAATGTTTGGCATTTCCCCCGATGTGTATCACCACAGCCCTAAGAGGTATGAGGAAAACGTTAAGCATTTCATCGCATGATCTCTATCAATCATGCATAACTTTACAGCCAAGCCTCTCCTGCCGACCCCTTATCGTCGTGTTTTCAAGCCGTCACCAGAATCTGTTCCTGTTACGACAAGGCGGCTCAATTAAATGACTGCACGCCAAGCGGTACTGGTAGATGATTAGTAGATGGTATGGACACACTTGCTGGTTTCAGCGTGTTGTTATCCCATAAATGATGTTGATTTTTGAATAAATTGGTTTTGCCATTTTTTCATATTACTATTGTTGCTCGTGGTGAGCGAAATGCGATGTTTGTGTCTGCGGATTACATGGAAGCCTGGAATGAACTGCACGACATGCGGGATCCAGAGGACCCGAATCACCAGGTGAGCTTCTGGCTCACTGACTTCTTAGCGCGAGCAACGCGCGTGCCGATCCTCAACGCGCTTGTGATGGCTGGGCCTATGGTTGCGAAAGATCCAGTCGCTTGCCGGAGGAATCAGCAGTTTCGGAATGCCCGACATAACTACGGTCTGCTGTCCGGTGGGCCAGTGATGCAGCTGCATTATGTGAGCGGTGGAAGAGGGAAATGGAAGGTGTCGAGTACAGAGTTCGCAAAGAAAAAGTCGACGTCACATCAGCGTAGCAATATGGATAATATCGCGGCCTCGTATTGGCATTGGGAAGTTCCACCGCGAAATACAGCATCGGCGTCGACTCGAAGTAGGCCTGCTCACGTGCTGACAGAACCCTCGGATGCGCATGACCTTCTGCCCGCTAGGGAACGCAGAAACTTTTCCGGTTCTATGTTGAAGAGGAATTCCGCGCGAGAATTACGCGAACGCAACTTAGGCTCTCTGCAAGACGAGTCTAGACAGGACGAATTGACTGCGTCTCACTTCGAGCCCATTCCAAAGCAGATACTTGGGGAGCACCCGAAGAATCACTTTGATGCGTACGATGTAGCATATGAAAAGGCGCAAGGAGAAGGAACCTACGCACCCCGCAGCGAAATGTGCGTCGCGCGATTCAGTTCCATGAATCTGCAGGATTACGCCACGAAAGAGGCTTTTTTGGTTTCCAGGCTTGCAGAGCATGTAGCTCCAACGAGTGCTCACGATGGCCGTAGGAACCCTGCGTCGCCAAGACCTGGTGCAACAGGCTCGCAAAATGAGGTAGATTTGACCGACAAAATGTCTACCCTGCGTCTGCGTGGTAGCCACAGGCGAACAGCTTCAAAGGAATCGATAGGGGATACTTTAGATGCATCTGCAAGTCCGCGATGTGCTGTAGTATCGGTGCCATCCGGAGCTTTTTCCATGGGAGACCGCAGGAACATACGACTTTGCCGCATCACTGATGGCGTAGAGCAAGCCTGTGCGTTGGAACGCACTTTCGCAGGAGTCGAGACTGAAGATAAGGATCACCACCAAGAAAACAGCCAAAAAATATCTGATCAACTTCAACGTGATGCTGACGGTCGCAATCAAGATACAGATGGGGATTCGGACATCGCGCAGCTTGCGCCAGTACCAGCATGGACTGCGGATCTAGACAAGAATGTCGCGAAAAACCGCATCCAGTCTATCGTTTGGGCGGCGATAGCCGACGTAAACGACGCGTGGCAACTAGAGATGGCACAGCTGAACAATAACACATCTGGTCACATACACAAGATTTCGTCACTAAAAGATCTGGATGCACGGGCAACTACGGGAAAAGAAGATAAAAATCGGACAGAACAACACGACGACGATAACAATCCGATGAGCAAGAAACAACTTAGAATAGCAAAAGCGAAGAGTAAAGCACTGCTGCGCCCACCAGCACCAATTTTGGACAGGAACCTACAGTCATGGACCGCGAAATTGACAGCGAAACAAGTAGCGACGGCTCTGCAGCGTGACGTCTGCGACCCGATTCATTTTGCGATAATCGAGCGGGCTGTCACGCAGGTAGAGGCAGTGTTGGAAGAGAGATGCTGCGTCGTCCGCAGTTTTCGACCTCTGAGTTATGATGAGACTTTTCATCTTACTCGCTTTCTACTATAGGGTCTAGTCCTAGTACTGTCGGAGAAATATACGACAGTGGAGCTTCATATGGTCACTGCGTGCGTAAACATGTTGCCCCAAGGAGTAAAAGTAGTTCTTACGAATATCATTTGCAGGAGCGGCGCGGAGAGCAAAGTGAGTTGTTCTAATCTTAGCGAAATGAGGAGCTCTGGGAAATGGAGAAGCCAGGTCCTCATGATTACATTAGTCCTGCAGATGCAGGAAATCCGTTGTTTTGGTGGCCTCGGGGCGCCGTGGAGGTAGTGCTCGTGGCAGAAGTTCCACAAGAGTGTGCCTGTGTACGTCCGGATCGCGCCGCTTATGAGGCAGCTGCTCGTGTGGAACATCACCGTCTAGAAAGTTTAACGCGTGCGCTAGAGCTGGCAAACCAACATCGGAAGGAAAAAAAAGAACAAGAACACGATGAAAGTGGAAAGAAGCATAGTGGAAACACTGCACAGAAGAGAGATCCGTCAGCGATCAAAGCGCTGCTCACTTTTTCGACTTCATCTAGCGCATCATCGTCATCAACTACGACGGCAACCCTCGGTCCACCTACGACGACAACTCCGTTTCACGAAGTACCTCTAGCTCCTGATGCCCCCACGGAAATCACATCGGATCACAATGATGCTGAAGATGAGAGACAGTCTGATCTGGCGCGTCTAGACGACTTTGATGAAAGTGGCCATGATATTCGTGACCAAAACTTGAAACCCTCAAAGTTTCCTGTGGGACGATATTGCGATGCGGACGGCGAACCCACACAGCAGGGAATGAACTGCAAGAAGTTACCATGGCCGCCTCGGGTCGACTTCGCGGAAAAGATTACCAGTGCTGGTCTGATACCGATGCACGTGTGGAACCATAGAATGATGTACGTCCACGAGATCGGGAAAGCTGTTCGCAATATGAACATCGACATTCATCGCATATTGCGCACATTGCGAAAGAAGGCGAAGGAGGTTGAGGAAGCTGCTGGGAACCTCTACGAAGAAGAAAATATGGACCGCAGGCACAAGAAGAGCAGCGAGGACAACGCTACTTCTATGTCTTCTTCTAGTAGTTCTAAGAACCTCGGGGAGAGCAAACTCGAGGACGATATCGAGAGTCTTGCCAAAGAAACGCAGCAGGACCGCGAGGATATGGAGGAGTACTCTGCGGCCGTGGATCGATTAGCGGAGGAGGCCCGTGCGTTGCAGAGGACGGGAGATAGGGTCACGGGCCTCCGTCTGGTTTCGAATCCACAGACATGGGCTCAGCCTTTTCCCGGAATGTTCCAGCGAGACCACATTCAATACCAATTCGCTGTGCTTGCACGTGCAGCGGATGAAATCGAGGCTATTCCGGAATCGAAGAGCCTGTGGGAATCTACGCCAAAACGCATGAGATTGAAAGAGCGTCTCTGGCGACTACAGCAGACAGCTCAATCAATGACCTTTTTTGCGGACAGCGGCATAGCCGACAAGCAAGAACGTCCCCGCGTGTTTCTGCGCAGAGACGAATACGACTCAAAGCCGATTGAATGGCTGACACCAGAAGTGGACGCTCGTGGATCTTCGCGCAGTGCGGCTGGCTCCAGGAGTGGTACTCGTATCAGAGAACAAAAGGATAAGAATGTTGCAGATGAAGACCATACCCAAGAAAAGCGAGCTTTGCGCCAAGTGGTCTTTTTCGCCGAATGGAACACCCGTCCAGACACGTTCAAGAAATGGCGTCTGCGTGATGGATACGAGAAGAGTGAGAAACTGAGCCTCGCGACTTTGGTGCGAGACTTTCCACTCCGTTCCACGGGGAACGCCTTTGACGATCCGAACGACTTGAGCTCGGTAGGAACCATAATGTGTTTATAGCACTACCTTGTAACTAGAGCGATGTAGAACAATAACAAGGAAAGCTCATATTTTTCTGCTGTCATTCCCATTCCCAATGGGTATGTTCAATGAGCTTCATATCTTTTCTTTACCAATACCAAGTACCCACTTTTGATTTTGCTCGCTCTCAACACAGGTAGCTTTTCCATTATTGTGGCATTTGGGTGCCACGCTAGAAGAAGAACAAGGTCGAGAGATCGGAAGGAGCTGCTTTCAAATGGTCGTTGATTTAGCCGGCGACATACCCACTCTTCTCCCGAATTTCGATGCGTTTCATAACATGTTGGCCGCAGAGTACACAAGGCTGAAGGCGCTACATGATCACAAGAAAGTTGGCGGCGTGGCATCCTTTAACAATTATGGATTCGATGGAGAAGAGCGTGAGTACAGTGGAGGCAATGAAAATAATACAGAGGAGACTATTCTCACCAAGCGCGGGGCCAGCCAGGTTGGGCTTCAAGGAGAGTGCCCCGCAGCGGATGCCAGAGACTTCCGTTGTCTCAGAAATTTTCTGAATGCGGGACCTGTGGGAGTTTTGTCGTGATCGGCCGACCAAACGAGTCTGGTAAAAGCCAGGCGGTCTTGGAAGAAACGATTGAGCGTACGACTTGCACAACTGTTCCTTGTTGTAGTTCTTGTTCTTCTTTAGTAACATATTGGAAATCATACCATAAAAAATGAAGAGTCACATGAGAGGTAGATAGCACACGTGAGCATGTTTGTAGAAGGAGTGCACATTAAGAGAAACCCCTTAGCATCAATGTGGATGTTTTTGAATGTGGAGGACAAAGCCGCAGTTTGCTGACTACCTCTGCACACTTGGAAATTTTAAGTTATGAGAATATAGCTAGTAGAGACCGAGTTGACAAGGGGCCATGAGTTTGTATTTTTAGCACGCGGGGGTCAGTACTTGTCGATACATAGGTTGTGGGCTGTGAAACAATGTTGAAATATTCTAGTTCTGAAATGTAAAATCTTCTTTTCTCTGATGGTTGAATCCTTCGTTTTGATCTTTTTGTGTGCAGGTTTTTGAAATGTTACTCACTTCGCTGCAAATGGCAAAACGTACACTTCTCTATGATTTGAACATCATTCGCCTTACAATTTTGAGCAAAACCGCAAGTAGGGAAGAAGGTACTCTCTCTGAGAAGGATGTTTGTCCGTCCACGTGAGAAAGATAGTAGAATTTCTTGTCTGGTGGTTTTACGCAAAGGTTTGAAATCTACAAGATCAAAATTTGAGAGAGAAGAAAGCGGCTGATGATCAACGTGAGAGAAGCGGAAATGAAAGATCATAAAATGTAGCATCCTAGGTAGCGTCAATCCGGATCGATGTAAATCTGCATAAAAAGTAGATTGATAAGAGTAGTGCTGAGGAAGATAAATGACTCTTTTTGACACAAATGGTTCCTACTTCAAGGCGTACTCGCAGGCGGTATTCGAATTTGTCCGGTAATTTTTTCGATTTTTTTGGTATTCGTTCTACTGTGATCAAGTCCACTAGTAAGTCTAGCCGTGTTAGCTTATTTTTTCCCCACAAGATCTATCCCTCGACTGCGCTTCTTATCGTTTTGCTCTTTTAGAGATGCAGACGGCACCGTTGGACGACTCATTTGGCAGCAGTGATGACGATTTTTTTGTTGGCGGTGCCTCTGCCGCTCCTGCTTCCGGCTTAAGCGCCGGCGTTCCTGCTTCCGGTTGCAGCAACCCTGCGTCCTCTCTAGCAGCAAATGATGACTTCTTTGCGCCAAGCAAGCCGGGGGCTGCGGACCTCTTCAGCTCACCGGAAGTATCGCCGGCAAAGCAAGTCGCGCAAAATACGACTAGAAAACCAAGTGCAAAAGACCCTTTATCTTTACTCGATCCCTCACCGGAAGACGAAGGTCCCACCACCACGACGACCGCAGCAGCGCTTGAAATCGAGGAAACGCGGAGTTCGAGCGCGAGCAGTACTGATTAATTTGCTGGCGTGCGTGATTTTCCAATCGACATTTCTCGATATGTATTTTCGTTCTCCATACGGGTACCTAAGAAAAAAAGAGCAGGATCTATCACATACACATTATTAACCTCTTACAAACTTTCATCTGACAGATTTGGTTTTGGAAGCAACTCACCTCATTTGATTTCATCTATAACTAGGTGACACAGACGCTGGCTTCACAAAGATTGATACCAGTAGCTTGTCCTCGACGGAAGCGACTCGCGCTCCAGCGGACACAAACGGTTTTGATGGTTTTAATCCAGCCACGGATGCATTTGGTGCGGATGTAGCTTTTCCAACAGAGTCATTTAGCTCCAACGTCGCTGATGCTTTTGGGTCGTCAGCCTCTGATGGGTTTGGCTTTGGAACTTCCTGTCCGGTTCCAATAGGGGGCTTGCAGCAAGCGCAGCAGCCATCGGATTCCGGCGTCGCACAAAGCACGTCGTCTTCGAGTAGTAACACTGTTCCTCAGAGCAGTGGTAGCACCGCGTTGACTTCGAGCAGTACAGTTGTGAATGCGAATAAAAGTAGCGAAGAGCAGCTGCAGGTGGAGGATGCTGATAAGTTTGCGGCACTGCCGCCGCCTTCGTCAGCGGCAGACACGTTTGAGGATGGTGCTTTTGTGAAGGTTGAGGATAGTTTCGCCGCTTTTGAGGAGGACCTCACGTCTGGGGCGGATGCAGAGCCAGCTAGTTCGCAATCAGCTTCTGCTGCACCACCTCAAGCAATCACTAGCCAGATGACGGCCTCACCAGGGGTTACGACGAGCAAGCGTGAGCCTCAAAGTCAAGACATAGTGGGCCCCAACGACACAAGTTTCGGGTCCGACGCTTTCGGAAATAGCATCAGTGACGATTTTGCCACGGGGTTCCAAGCCTCTCCGATCCAAGGGTTTGCGTCCGAAGATGCGTTTCCTTCCGGCGGAAAAAAGTTTACAAGCGTCAACAATGGCGATGGCTGGGTACATTTTCATTACAATTTAAATCTTTGATATCATCGTAGTTGCTTGTTGAGCTTGACGTTGCTGTTGATTTTGGAATGATATTTATATATAATATATGTATGAATGTAGCTGCAGCTAGTTGACGAAATAGAAAAATGCTCAAACCATAGTATTCGGGTTCGGCATTTTTTTCCATCATAAATAACAACAGAATGCGGGTTTTGATGCTGATTTCGATGCGTTTGAGCTAGAGGCTATTGCTCCCTCCCCTGTCGAATCACCAAAGCCGCATGTGAAAAAGGCGGCGACGCCTGTGCCTGCCATGGTCGTGGATAATGACCCCTACAACTATCCCGTACCGACCAGTGCCGCGATACCTCCAGGCAGCGCGATGGACTCCTTTGCCCAACATCAGAATGCAGCACCAGGCTCTGGGATGAAAATTAGCAATATGAACGCGGCGTCGCCAGTAGCAATAGAAATGTCTACGCGGACAACGCCTCACAGAGCACCGGGAAATGCCGAACAAAAGCAAAATTCTGCGGCAGCGAGTAGACCTCCGCTTTTTCCTAGTGATCACCAGAATTCGGGAAACAGGAGTGCAGGGAATCCCGCGACAAACAAGTCTGAGGCCTCAGCGAGTGGAAGCGGAAAGATAAGTGTGAAGCTGAAAGGCGTGTCTTCCACAAAAGGCGGCGGCGCGGTTTCAGGCTCGTCGGCAGCCTCTGCCGCAGGGATGCACAGTCGCCATGGAGGGGCCGTGATCGAGTTCGCTGATGTCGACGCCCCGCCAGCACTTCAAGCAACTGGGAAGCAGCCCACTTCGGGGTACGGAAACCAGATGACAGACGTCACAGGGGACGGCAAGGAGGAACTCTTCTTCGACCTCGAGGCTGGTGATACGACACCTCGAAATAGCTACAGCAAACCCCACCATAAGGGAGGTAAGTCCTCGCCATGCTGCCGCGCGGTGGTTTACTGCCGAAACTGGTGCCTCTATCGTCTTGGCTGCCGCAGGCTGTTCACATGCCTCATCTTTCTCATCCTTGTGGGTACTTTAATGTTTTTTGCAATTCTTTTCCTGTTTAATCGATGTTGGACGACTAAGCATGATAGATTACTTTGGCAGGCGTTTAGATGTTTCCATTGTCTGATAAATACTAAAAATGAGCAGGTTTCGGCGTGAGTTCCTACTTCTTTGGAACGGAGATTGTTCTAGACGAGTCTCAGAAACGTTTGATTCAAGCACACGACGCAATGCAGAAGGGCTACCACGAGGGGAAGAAATGGGCGCATGCAGGAAAAGAACTCGTAAACAAGGTAGCAACTGTTGCGCACGAACATATTCAACAAATGGCTGCGCAGCAACAAGGTGGAGGCAATGCCCCTTTGGGGTCAGGAGCTTCAGGCAGCACGTCGTCTCCTAGCAGTTCTCCTTTTACAGCCGGTGCAACCACATCAAAGCAGACGAACACGGATAATGGAAGTGGAGGTCGTGCAACTAATGACCCTTTCGCTGCATCATGGACACGCACTTCTCAGCAGGTGCCTTCAAAAGCAGAGTCATCAAATCCTGGTGAGGCGCAACCTGTCCTCGGCGCTGTCCACACGGAGCAGCAACAAGGTGTAGAACAGCCTCAAGCGAGCAATAGCCATGAGAAGGACATGGAGGCTAAAATGAAGGAGATGGAAGCAAAGTATCAGAAGATGCTAGGTGATGCGCAGAATCAGATCAACGGGTTGCAATCCCGCGTGGAGGGCTTCGAGCATCAGGACGGAAATCCCGCAGTCAGTCGCGGCAACGTAGCCTCTGCTTCTGCCAGGGCTCTCGGTGGTGTAGACGGTAACGGGAATGGTGGACAACAGATGCAGCAGCATGCGACAACACCGGCACCCAGCTATATTGGGCAAAAAACGGGCACTGCAATGCAGCATAACGCAGCAGCACAGCATAATGGGTGGGAATTGGCGCAGCAGCAGCGCATAAATCAGGGTGTAGCCGCAGATCCTGCGTTTGATCCTAGGATATCACAGCAGCAGCCGCAGCCTGGCAGTGACCTGATGAATACGCGAATACTGAAACCAGCAGAATTAGGAGCAGCTTCAGATCCGCATAACGGGTGGGCGCGGAGCCAGGCGGCGATGCAGCACCCGAATACTCAGCAAGCAGTGAACCTAGCGCAAACGGTCGCTCCAACGCAGGCGACCGATCGTCAGCAAGGGACGATCAACGGCGTAGAGAACGAGGCCGCGACCGTGGAGCCAGGTTTAGACCCGGAAGAGGATGCGGAAGAGGACCGCGCAGCGATTGACGATAAGCACGCTGGCGAGGAGGGTGGTGAGGACCCTGAGGGACGCGACGCCGTGGACGGGGTGAAGGAGGAAGAGGGCGAAGACGGGGAGGAAGATCGGGGCGACGAGAATAGTGAGGCGTCGACGACCCCCTACCCTGCTGAGCTGGAGGATGGCGTTCGAGTCGCTGACACGGAGCCTTCGACAACATTTTACCCTGAGATGGGTGGGGTGATCCAGCAGCGCGACGACCCCGTCGCTGATGGACATCGATACCAGTCCACAACAGCAATACCCGCGGTCCCCAGCCCAAGCACGTACCCTTCGTCTATACCAAACGAGCAGAATTCTGTTGGCGGAATGCCAATGCAAGATGCACATCTAGTTCAAGAACCTAATGCAGTACAAAACAACCAATACCAACCCCAATACGCTGCGGCTGCTCAGGATCATAATAGGTATCCCCCTCAAGTAGAGCGAGCAGCCGGCGGATTCGCTGGAGGGACATTCCCGCAGGGACAACAACAACTTCCACCTGCATTTCCAGTAGCGACAACAATGCCCCCGCTCCCGCATCCTCACGACGCGGCCATCGATTATGGCGTAGCAAGTCATGCCCAGCCAGGAATCATGCGGGGCGCTAGCCGGGATGTGACGCTTGCACCGAGTAGCCGGGGTGTTGGTGGGGCCTCGTCAACTCCTGGCGACGTTCGATTATCGGCCATGGCATCGCAATCAATCCCAACTGGTAGCGTGGCAGTTCCGACAACTGCTCCGCCTCAAGCCGTCAGCTCCTTCCGAGCGCAAGAGCAGCGAGCGGTCCCGCCACCAAAAGCTAGCACGACAGCGATTCCAGCACCACAGCAGCAATTCCCAGTTCGAACGGAAGTGTCAGAGGCGGAAGCTCGTCGAACGGCCACCCGCGGGCCTCCGGAGCATATTGCTCGACACAGCGGAGCTGTGCCGGCTTCTCAGACGGGAGAAGTTCCGGTTCGAGGCGGGGGAGAGAGCCCGGATTCTGTTCCAATTTTGGATATGCCGCAGCGTGGATCGAAATCAAGCAAAAAGCCCAAGAAAAACGCGAAAAAAGACGGCAAATCTCGACCCAAGCACGTGCGCAACCGTGGAGTTTGAACACTATAACAAAGTGTGGCCAATTTTAATGAAGTCGGTATGGGTAAAGCGTCGTGGACATTTACTTCGGCATAGCTCAACCATACTAGCATAGAATTTTTTTCCATCTTTCCAGGAAACTCTAAAATTAAGTATCCCGTTTTCTCTCTCCAGGAGCGACCATTGTAGTTTTTGCTTGATTCATTGACCACGTTATGTTTCTTTGCTCGTGAGGCGACGTAGACTGTGGGTGGCCGAAATCCTCGGCGAGAATCATTCAAGATTATTTAGATTATTATATATATTTTCCTTTGCTTTCCACACACAAAACTTTACTAGACTTTAGAGGTTGGGCGCATCCCGCTGTCACGTCCATGTGGTTGTACACGCACAAATGAGACATTCATGATAGGATCCCACATAGATATTGTTGTTGATGTAGACCCATCTCGCTGCCAAGCAAAATACGATGTAATACCTACCGCGTCAAAACTGACATCATAACCTACTACTTTGTGTGTTCGCTCTACCTTCAGCTTCTGCGTACCTTAAGACTAGTCGTAGTGGACGAAAGATGGAGCTCCCAACAGTTTTTCAGGAGATATTCGTTAGAAATCAAACCGGTGAAGGTGTAGGATTCATTCACTGAATCAAACATCTGCATCATGACGAGAGAAGTAGGTCCAAACACAGAGGTTCATGATGTTAATTTCTACTAGGTCTTCTCGATATTTCGAAAAGCAAAAAAAGAGTAACAAAAGTGTAGGATGCATGCAAAAGGTGCGTCCACACTCGACACGAATTTTTTTTCTAAAAGAAATAGATGGGTGACATGACAACGTGTTATCATAAGTCGTAACGGAAGCAGAATGTTCATGTTGGTTCACCTAGTGAAGCAGGTGGCAAGCAATTCTCGCTGGTCACGGAAGGTGACTAGCCGCACTGTGTCAAGCCTCTGCAGCGTACACACTGCGACCCAGGTCGTTGGTACTCCATCTCGCGGACCAACGTTGAATCTCTTCGTGGATTTCGAAGGAGACCGGTGGACCCGGCTTTTCAGTGGACCAGCAAAGCCTCCTGCTGCGCTTTTGAAACAGCGAGCTGAAGACTTCGAAGTGCGCGAGATTGCGAGGAACGGCGACCTTGCTGCGTTTTCGCCCGTTGAAGACACTGCGTCCAAGGATGAGCCACCTGCTGGTAAGTTCGAAGTCGAAGACTGCGTCTCAGAACAAAGTAGCGTGTGCAGCCCTTATAGACTCGCATTTGATGACGGGTGGGCAAGAAGCAAAGAGGTGCTTAGACAGGAACGCATTGGCCCGCCATCTAGCGCAGCGGATTTTTTGGATCTTGAAAACCATGACCGAAAGGCATTTGTGTCGAAGCGTCTCGTTACTCTTTTCGATGACGGTACTGAAGATATTCAGCCTGAGGGTGCTGCATCGGACGCATCAATGGAGTCGGGTGAAGGCAACACTTCAAACCAGCGTCCAATCAAGCGCCAGCGAGCGTTCTTTCTGCGTGTCATGCGGGTTAAGGGGGCTCTCGTTGCGCGTTACCAAGATGAGCTTACACGCGTCACAGCTCGGCTCACTGAGATCGGTAAAGCGAAATTTCGATTGGCGCGCGACCCATTACTAGAATTGGCTCTCCAGAGGTATTTCGAAGAATGGGATAGAGTTGCAATATTGAGATTCGTCGAGACGGGCTACTCACGAGAAACACTCCGGTGCCCGTTGAAAGCGGGGAGTTGTACTGATCCAGCGACGATTCAAAAAGCGCTGGGAAATCCAATACTGGGACTTCTAGTGAAACATGCTGATGTTGATGATATTGATGCTGTTGGAGCTTCCAATTCCAACTATGCTACCTCATCCTCTGGTACTGTAAATTTTGTGCGTTTGTCGTGGCAAGCACGCGCCAGCATACCAGAGCTTTTTCTTAGTCAAGTGTGGAGATTCGAACTATGGAAAAAAAATTTGAGCGGTCCATCTTTACTCCGGAAGCTAGAGTGGGAATTGAAGCTACCCTACGGAAGTATTCGCAGTGGAGGTGTCAAAGACAAAAATGCTGTGACGTGTCAATTTTTAGAAATACCGGTCGCTGGCTGCACGCCAGAAAAAGCGAAAATGGAAATTGAGGACGCTGTAGCAAGATTGCGCTCCCGATGTCTACCACCTAAGCTTGACACAAGATCTGATGAGGAGAATCAACGTCATAGGTTGCACTCGCAGAGGACGAATACCTCTTCTTTGCAAGTAGGTAATTTTCAGCTTCGCTCCCATGGCTCTCTTAGCTGGGGTGAAACAGGAGGGAACCGGTTCAAAATCGTGTTACGCGATATCGCGGATATATCCAGAGTCAAAGAAAACGTCGAACGCGTTAGGGCACATGGATTTCCCAACTACTTCGGGCCTCAGAGATTTGGTCTCTCTGGGAATGGATATCACCGGGGAGGTTTGAAAGTTGATCTTAATGCTGCGTCTATTTCGAAGCACAGAGAACGGCAAGCATACTCACCTGACGTTAGTAGCAGTGAACTCGAAATAAGGGGTGGTGATCGCATCAATGAGAGTTCTGATTCATCATCGCAGAACGTGCGCATTGGTCTGGCCTTGTTGCGCCGAGACTGGGCAACCGCGCTCCGGGATTGGCTCGGTGAAACTGAGCCAGGTTTCGAACTAAAGCGAAGGAAAATGCACAAGGTATCAAATCAAACTACAACAGGGGCCACATCAGTAATGCGGGACGACAGCGCACAAAGACAAGCACGAAGCATGCTAGGAAAACGTGGGTGGAAGGATAGCCAGTGGATCTTGCGGAACGCAGCACAACCTCAAGTGATGAATATGTGGGTTCTAGCAGTGACCAGCATGCTTTGGAACGATGTGGCGAGTGCGACATTACTGGAGTATTCGCGAGGCCAAGGGGAAGGCTTTCTCCAGAATGGCTACACGGATACTTTTTTAAGCTTGCCTACCCTGGGTATCCTCCCAAAGGACCAGAATGCTGCCGGAGCTGAAAGCAGCACGCAAAATATAAGAACGGCCTTGTCAGCCTATCCGATCACACGTGAGTTGTTAGAAAGACTCTATGGAAAAATGCTTTCGAAATTACGTTTACGCGTCGCAGATTTCGATCTAGGTGCAGATTTGGGGGTAGAAGTTCCCGCGCTCCTACGTTCTGTGATCTCGCATCCTCAAAGGGGACAAATAGAGTTGGAAACTTTTTCGGACAAAAGTACAGCGTCTCTATGCTTTGCTCTCAACCCAGGCACTTACGCAACAAGTCTATTGCGCGAAATCGTGAGTATTCGATGAGTTGTTTTTGGAGTATACTTATGAGGATCATACAGCATCCATGCACCAGTATGTATATTATAACCAAGACCTACAGAAGTAATGAAATGTCATGAGCAGTGGACGACGAGATGGAAACCTGGATGCGCAAACGTTCTCCACCATCCACCTTGAGAAAGGTTGAACTTGAAGCCAGCAGTTGGGATCTGATCTTTTGAGCTTTTCAATCTGTCTCGTTAGCTCTGTACTTTATGATTGAAGCTTTAAGGCGTGAGGAGCACGGAGAGAAAAGTATGGAGAGGAGCACGACGGCGTAATGGTGTACTAGGGTCCAGAATATCAATATGAACATTGTTTACACAGCACTGATTTCACCTTGTTATCCTGGTCTGGTTTTGCTTTTAGTATGCAGTAACGTCTTTTTTTGCGAAAACGATGCGTTTCTCACACCTTTCTACCGCAACGATGTCGTACTCAGCACGTGTAGTCGCGATTGCCCCGCGTGCATCCGCATCGTGGATCTGGACGTGGACCACTCTAGTACTGCTATTAATAACTATCACCATTGCAGCCTATAAGGTTTCCGCCGACTCACGTATAACTCCAGCAGCAGTGTATACCTCGAATCACGTTGCTGAGTACGTTTTAGAGTATAGCGAAGCTTCAGGTGGTGAACACACGGTCAAGCTTTTCGACGATTACGCGGACCTATGGGCAGATCGCTCGTCGGCCCTCTCCTGTTGGAAAAGAGGGAAGGAGGAAGTCTTCGAGAACTACAATGCGTGCTGCGTGGACGACGAAAGCAGTCCGATCTTAGTTGTATGGCGGTGGATCTTGTCGTTGTCTGCTAGAACAATCTCCATCATTCATATCCAGTTGATTCCATGCTAGAGAAATTCAAATTTTTCAATTGATATAGATATCGCTAAGAAGTTCCACCCTAGATAGATTGTTCGAATGAACAAGAAGAGTAAAGAAAAGTACTAAGTATCGAACTTTCTAGAAACCCAGTGGTGATCTACATTCATGCAACAAAGCGCAGCATCGGTGGCCCGATGCTTTGATCCCTACCATGCTGCAGGATTACCAACGCAACCCGATCACGCGCTACCCCGAATTGCATTACACCCACATAGCAAAGCAAGGTCTTGCTACTTCGGCGCGCGTCGAGGACATTGTTGATGCTGGAGACGATGTGATCTTCAGGTCCACGGAAAAGCCGACTACAACAGCTCTACCATCTGACGTGCCAGCTTCTGATGAAAGCATGATCGAATTCGAGGACGGACACGCGATGGAAGCACCTGCATGGAAAGAGAACATCCCGAATATTCTGCTCTCACACATCAGCGGAAACAAGCCTTGGCAAGAATGGGCCTTTCCTATGCGTCGCCGACGCGGCAAGTGCGCGATTCCCGGTGCATGGGAGGACTTCGAGGAAGAAAAGCTCACTACTGGCCAACTGATCTCGAGACTGCTCAAATCCGCTTACTTCGATCAAGAAGAGCCTGGAAATGGCAGTGGCGAAGATGGGTCGGGAACAAAGCAAGGAAATCAAACACAGGTTAGGACTTCACTTGAGGCAGCTGCTGAAAGTGCGCTTGCTACGACTAACACTTCCAACGTCAAAGGAGCAGCATCAACACCATCTAGTACAACCTGCTCTGGGTCTGGTAGTGGTACTTTAGATTCGTGCGAAAGCGAAGGCGGACAACTACTCGCTTCCGCTCCCGCTGCTGACGCAGTCCCTGAGTCAATATCTACCCGTGTCAAAAAGGCTATGGCCGAACCCGACCCGAAGAAGCGTTGGAAAATGCTGTCTAAGATAGTTGAGAAGTCGAACATACGTATCGAACGCGACAGTGCCTTCTTTAAGAAGTGCTGCATCAACGACATTCTGAGACAGATAGGGCTCACGCGACATCTATTTTCAGGCCTCGCATCGTTTGTGCCCCGAAATGTCACGAAAATTTGCCCCGATGGCATTGCGGCCTTTGGAGGCTCACCCGCTGATCCACCAAAATTGGTCTGCGCTACTGATTTTCGCGACGGCGGTAGGATGAGGATTGCGCCACCACCCCCAGAAAAGAATTACACGGCTAATGTTTATTCGAGCCACAACAATAGTACAAGAAGTAGAGAGGGGGACGACGGTGCTGAATTGACAACAACTACTAGTACCAGACAAATTAGTGAAGATATGATTAGTGAAAGTAGTGTGACAAAAGGGACTAGTGCAACATCCTCCGAGTTGCCATTGAAGCAGATCATTTTAAGCGTGGGTTCTAATGACGACTGGACGTTTGAGATCGAAATACACAAATGGCTACGAAGAAATTTACATCCTGTAATTCGAAAGGCCAGCACTTCTAAGGCTTCACCAAGTGAATCTCCTAGTGAACCGGAGGTAAGCGTACGGCCTAAGGTTGTAGTGCACACGTATGATTGTACAACTGCCGGGGGAGACTCTACGTCCTCGTCAGCAGCTGAAGCGCCGGCATATGCGGGTCCGGGTGCTAGGCCCAGCCTGCAAAGTGCATCTCTGGAAGCCAGCACTGCTGGAGACAGAAATGAAGCCTTTGAAGAAGACGATTATGAAGACGCTGAGCACAAGGAGACGACTAACAAAACTAGAATAGTGCGCCCGTCCTTCGTGCGATTTCACCAGCAATGTCTCATAGGAGAGAGGCAATGGCAGCAGTATTTTGGAGAGGAGGAGGCTGCGAACAAATTCACTGACGGACCTAGTAGAACAGGTAACGAGGAAGAAAACGCGGCCGAAGATGCCAATAGAGTACCGCTTATCGCACATGGTACAGAGAAAAGTCCGGTTTTGAATACCGCAACACCAGTACCTCCAGAGCCTTCGACAACACGAGAAAAATCGCATTTCTTCGTGACTTGGCGGCGTCTATTGGATGCTCTCTATCGGGAGGAGAATTGCGGTATTACGCACCGCTGCACGATGCCACTGGCGAAGATTGATGTAGATGGCTGGGAGTGGGCCATCTTTCCGGAAATCTTTCAACACTCATCGAGAACGATGGAGGAGCACAAGGATGTTAGGAAAGATCCTCTAGCTCCTCCACTAGAGCCAACGCAGATTGCGATTGAAATGCACTTGTGGGTGCCAATCCAAGCCCGTCTGCCGGTGGACTTTTTCTTCAACCATTATTTAGAGGGCAGATCTCGACGTCCAACAACTAGTCCTGATAATGGAGTGGAAATGAAGTTGCCGAACTTTCCCGAATTCTTTAACGAGCGACGCATTCGTAAGCGAGCAATCAGTCTGAGTAACGAACAATTAGAATTACTACCTTCTCAACGACCTGCATCAAGTTCTGGAGCTACTGATGCAGATCTCGATTACGAAAGTTTGATCTACAAGGTGCCGGGAAATGAAACACGTGCTCTTCACCGTTTTCTCGGGCGGGCAGGGGATGCTGGCTTCTACCTCCTAGGCCGTCTTGAGAACCCCTACAACGCTGGCGCCGCTGAGGTCTTACTCAAGCGCATGGCGTAAATTATCAAGAAATATACCGAGCAAGTGCAAGATGATCTTCTGATTGCTCTTTGCTGTTTTCGACTCCTGGATTTTTTGTGACAAAGGATCGTTTTATTTGCACAGAAAAAAGACGAAGGCAGGTGGTACTTGCCAGAAAACCCTATGCGTGATAACTTTACGGGATAACTTAATCTTAAATTCTTTCTTAGGCAAGCGCTTCAGCTTCTAAAATGTTCATCGCCATTGTGAAGATCCAGGCAGTTGCATTCGCGTGCAGATGTGAAGAAATTTGAGTCTGTTGATCGTAAAGCCTACAGTGTCTGTGCCTCATGCTTAAACGTTTGGTGATGTTCGATGTGGTCCATAACCGTTCTGAATCTTCGTGTAGAAAGCATTTCCATGTGCATTTTTGCTTCTTCTCCTGCTCATGTTGTATGTCGAAAATGTATTGGACTTCCCAGAAATGATGGGGTCGGAAATGTCTGGTGATCCTCTATCGTAGGCTTCTGTTTTGTTGTGATCTGCCATGATTCGAACGCGAAAACCCTCCTCATGACGCTCCATCACACTGCTCTCACACTAGTGCCAACATGTGGCCTTCTGCATTGTTTTACGCCCACGATAGATCTTTCTGCATTATTTGTAGACCGTGCAGAAAAATGTTTTCCAATGCTCATATGTGACACATCCTCTAACCTGTGATGCACTTGTAACCCTGTTTTTCTCCGGCAACTAAACAAAATCAAAATTTTACTCGAGATTTTCTCAATCAAAAATTTTTCATTGACCAACAGGAGCCTTGCTTCTACAAAGGAACCTGAAACCTATGTAATATTAACTACAAACTTCAAGGCATATGATCATCAGCATCCTTCATCCATGCGAATTCAAAGAAACTAATAGTTCTTTGTGGAGAAGATCAATTTATTGCTAAGTTTTGTTGTTTTGTGCTAGTTAGTATGTAGGTAAAACATTGTAGATCATAGAGTTTGGTAGAAAGAGAAGCTTGACGTCTCTGTTGAGGGTTCATCCCGCCACTAATGCAATTTTACTGGAAGCGCATCATTAAGTATAAGGTCTATAGTACTCCGAAACTAATTCATATTTTATTCTGCATCTGCTGCATCGTATCTGAAAATGTTTATTGGGCATAGATACACATAGATTGATACTGAATGTGAGTATAATTTTCGTTGCATTTTTTTCGGTTTTTACTTTATCGATTGTGCAATCATTATGCGACTACTTTTGACAGCAACGATGGTGTACATGTACAAAAACATTCGCGTACCTTTCCTAGGGTTCATCATCACTAGTAGCATGTCTTCTGGTGTTGACGCCCTAACGCTGAAAGCAGCCGCCGGCATCATCCCAACAAGTCGGCGTGCTGGGCGACGCAGGAGACAAATTCTCCAGCAAGGATTGACCAACATTAAGATAAGGTTTTCACTGTGCTGATTGTGTTGAGCATACCGATACCAGATTTCAGGAAGGACAGGAAGAAGTAGGCATGCGAATCCGCTGGATTTAGAAGCTTAGCATAGTGAAAACTAAAGTACACCCACTAAAGCTAGAAACCAAAGGCCAATAGAGCGCAGAGTCGAGGAGCACGAATCACAAAGAACTGATGAACAAGCAGTGGAGTACTCTCAAACAAGTCAGTCTTCCGATGAAGCCGAGGAAGAGGATTTAGCTCTGCTTTTAGATTGAGGCTAATTTTTCACTATCCCATGTGGACTATGCCGAGTTGGGTCCCCTTGATTTAAAGAGGGAAAATAGGGGAGAAAGGAAAAGGAACCCACTCAAACCGGCATAATTAAAAACCGGCGCTAATTAGAGACGGAGAGTGAAACTCCAGAGGATCCTGCTCGATCGCCCGAAGTGCCTGCGTCTCTGGTGGCGGAGTTTTTCTTTCCCGAGGGCGAGGACGGAGGGAATGCAGACGTGCATCTCGGGGGCGATGAAGCATCTGTTGCAAGAACTGAATTCGATGAAGATAATGCGGCACACCGCACGCCTGAAGACGAGGGTAGGGCCAGTGGTGCAGTGTGGAACACGCGCCAAGAAGTGGACAGAAATGATCAGCACGGGACTGTTTTCCCATTATCTGAGATTCCTTCGTGCGTCGAAAATCTCGAGTCGCCGCTTGTTAACAGCCCTAGAGATGAACGCGATAAAAGCGAGGGCTCCGCCGCCCCGTTGCATGTCTCCATTGCGTCACCAGAGGACGGAGCTATGAGTCCTCCGCCAGGGATTTTTTTTCTGCCACGGATGAACCCCACTGAGGACGCAACGCGCGAACAGTGGGCTGCGCAGGAGACACTATTGGCGATGGAATGTACCGAGACGGGTGGCACTGTAGATGGTGGCAATCATAGCTCAGCCCTATTGAAAACTCGCAATCCTAGTAGTAGGAGTAGTAGTAGGAGCCCTAGAAGAAGAAGCATGGGCGCGGCAGATGAGCATGCGGAGGAACACGAGGACACTGCAGAAGAACCTGATGGCGAACCTCCGGAGGCGAAGCGTCGCAGACGGGCTGAGCTACCTATAGCTTATCCGACTCCAAGTCCCAGAGAAGTGGAGTCTCCGGCACATCAAGAGCCGGAACGCGACGCGACCGACCGAACCCGTGCACTACCAGAAGAGGCACGAGCAGGATACGTTGTGGATAAAGAGTTTAATGACCAGACGGAGCAAGCAGAGAGGGCGCATCAACAAGAAGAAGAGGATAGTGACGACCTTCTAATTCGTCTCTTCGGGCGTCCTGGTGCCAACGAAGGGACCACGCAAGCGCAAACGGGAAGACAGACTGATCCAGCGCAGGATGAAGAGGAAGCATATGATGATGCACAAGTTGACGAGGAAGAGTGGAACGAAGACGACCAAGATGGTATAACAACTACTTGGCTGATCTCTGGTTCTCGTCTCTAGTGTGTTGATGAAAGAAGGCTATTGATTTTCGAGATTGTTTGGAAATGGTACGCCTTTGTGCATCGGGAAACTGAAGTATGTTTTCAAACCTTTTGAATTGTACAGTTTCCTGAACATGATCCACATAAATTTTCCTCGAACGCCAGATGATCTCAACGACAAGCCGATTGAGGTGTATCAGGATTTTCCATTGGCACCGCAGAAGCTGAATGACTTGCTGCAACGCATACAGAGGCCTAGAGCTGGATTTTTCGCTTCGCTTGGGAAAATTCATGACGCTATAATTCGGGATTGCGACTCTCTTACAAAAATCGAACTTTTTGAGCATCCCAGTGAAGTTCAATGGGGCCAGATGCGCGAGCCGCTCAACCTTTGGGAACCCATTGGAAACAGACGCAAAATTTCTGCCAGACTCTCGGTACTTGTAGTTTGTAAACTCAAGAAACTGAGCAGACGATAGGGATAAGTTCGCGACTAATAAAGATTAAGATAAACTGTCAATAACATGAGCATAGACTGATAGATACAAACACTACCAGGTTTTCGACGCGGAAGACTTTCTCGAGCGGCTTAAAGACCAGGTGGAAATACTATCCGTGGAAATAAGATATGTCCCATTTGTGGAGGACTTCTACCAAAACCAACATCCTGGGCCAGTGTATTTGGAGGACAACCCGCAGCCAAGCGGCCAGGTAACGACTGTTTCAAAAAGTTTTGTGGTCTCTTTGTTCTCATTCGGCTAGTGCAGAAGGATTCTTGTTGAAATCTCGAGGTGTTGATTTTCATATCGAACTTAATTTCCACCGTACGGCGGTCCTGAGCCTAATAGTGTTTGTGTAAACCGAAACGAGGAAAGAAAAAGACTAGATTGACTTCTCCTCAAACGCCCTTCAGCGTCGAACGAGTCCGTCGTTTCACAACGTAGAGGATTGGATACGGCACCAGTGGGCGATAGCTGATCACGAAAAAAGAGAGTATATGAGGTACACAGGAGAACTGGTAGTCCCACACTTCCGGTTCGAACAATTACGGGAGTATCAAGCTCGCGCGCGCGATACCCTCACCCTCATTTACCACCAAAAGGCGCAGCAGTCGCAGGAGTGGAGTGCATGCATCTTCAGCGGCCGAACGTGTCATGGGTGATCCTCACTTAGTGTCGGAGGTCGCAATGCTCGGGAAAAAATGGAGATAGGGGCACCAGATCGTTTGCTTGCTGTGGCGCTACTCTGCGACATCGTCGTTCTGCGGCCTTTGACGAGCCTCTCCTAAAACCGCGAGATAAATATTGCATTCCAAATTAGCTTTTCAAAATCCCTCATACAGGCGGATTGGCGTCATAGTCACGGATCCAGCGACCTGCTTTTGATGAAACGAAAACCAAAAAATACCTTGCAAAGCAGGGCAAGATTTCAGGTGATTCTTCATGATTTTGGAGGAATCTCTGCCGGGCTGTTCCGGCCCATTGTTTCTCTCTTGCTCCGTCATTTACTTATTTTTTATCGTCCTGGCGTGTGCTTAACAAAATTAGTAGTTTCGTATCCGTCGTCCATGTTTGCATTGATTCGAAGAAGAAATGTTTTCTGTATCTGTTGTGCTGCATTTCAATTTTCTCTATTTGTAAGCTGTAATCACTAATAGTCGCATGTTAGTTTTTCAATATCAATATTGATCCATCAAAGCCTACTTCGTTATAATTACGCAGCATTGCTTAATGGTGGAACTCGCCCATTCTTGCATATGCCGGGAATTCATCCTGATCTTCGTGTCTGTGTGCAGCTGCAGTTGATGATAACAAAAAAAACGAGATGTAAATGCATCAGAATCTTTATGTCCTTGATCTTTCTTGTATTCATTCGGATTCTGGGAGTGTACACCGGCCTGTGTCGTGTTCCGCTTAATAGTCAGCCCCTTACACCTCTATGATGAGATCACCTCGTCAACTGGTCTGCGCCAACTCCTATGATGAGATCGTCTCGTCAACTCCTATGATGAGATACTTGTTTTGCAGCGTTGTCCATAATACTTACTGTTATTCATCATTAGTCTGCTCTGCGTGTAAAGACTGTGGTACATGCACTCACGTAGTTTGAAGATCCCTGTGCATCCTCGTGTTGGCCTTTACAGCTAGTATCACTACTATGCAGCCATACGTAGCATGACCTTCAAATGATAGAAGCGCTTCCGTCTTCTTGCCTTGTTCTTCTGATTCGTATTTCATGTGTCTTGCATGAGGCACTAGACGCCTAACAATGATCAACATACTCAGCGTGAAAAGCCTCGGCCTTTGTAGAAAACGAAATGCAAGCGCTTGAGTTTGTAGACGTGTCGTAAACACAAGTTACATCGTTTGTTTAGCTGATCTCTACAACAGCGAATTGTGACTTTTATTCGCGAAGAAAAGCGTGCTTTGTCAACATGATTTATATATGGTTCCTTCCGACTCCGAGTGTTGCTGATGGTGCTCAGCGCAGCTCGAGTTGTCATTGCCGCGCCTCGGTATCTGCTTGGTCGCACACACTTTCCCGGCGTAGCACGCAGTCAGCTGTGGAAAGAAACCATGTGGCCACGACGAGAAAGCCACTACACTGGTGACTGTTCTCTACCCGCTGCACCGCGTCCGCGAGGAGAAGCTTCGCGACGCATCTCCTATTTCTGGTGCTCCGGTTGCTGAACATCAAGATAACTTCGAAAAATCTCGGTCCATGTGGCGTGGTATCTTCAAGGACAAGCCAAATGGAGAAAAAAACGAGTTTAACGACGAGGACGCTACACCTCAGAACATTGGGTTGGGAACGCCCCTGGGCTTGGCGTCGACGATTGCAGCGCCCATTGGCACAAGCGCAAGCCCTCCTGCCAGTTAAGGGTACTAGAGCTTCGTCATCTATTCTGAACGAGTTCCTCTTGCTTTCTTCTAACAGAAACCAATGGGAAAACTCGTAGAACAACTCAAGCAGAACCACAGGCGATGTGAGAGAAAATGTTGCTTGATGTTCAGAAAGCGATAGAATTTGGATTTAGTCTTAGTTGATAGCAGGACGGAGTGTGTGCCTACTTCTTTCGCCGTTCATGGATGTTGTTATAGCCGTTCATGGATGTTGTTATAGCCGCGGATACACCGAGCAAGTCGATTGGTTCTCCAGTCGATCGTGCTGCCGCACGTGTCGATAAAAAAGCGCTTGCTGATCTTCCCAGCACATCGCCAGATGCTTTAAGCATGTCCTTGGACGGCATGATGCGAGGATTTCGGGCCGGGCTGCACTCTATCGCCCAACGAACCCGCCGCGCAGGCTGTGGGGAATATCTACATTGGTGGAAGGTCGCTTACGGGGCAGCGCCAGCAGCCGGGTGCGTTGGGGCTGGGTCATGATGAGGCAATGCCGCTGTCGGACGGGCGGCGACAGGACGAAACACAAACTGACCTGGTAAGTTGTCGCTAGTGTGACTGAAGGCGCTCCCGATGTCGTGTGTGAAGCTACTCCTACAGAAGCTGGTGAGGTTGAAGGCAAAACTCTTCTTGGAATTTATGACACAGATCAAAATGGTTACTGCGATGACTTCATCCTGACGAACACCAGCCATTTTTTTATCACAGGCATGACGTCTTTTCATGCATCCATTCATAAGTTAGACTTGAACGAAGAGAAATACCTGTAGACGTAGATTTTTTTAGTTCGTTGGAAAATCTGAATCAATGAGAGAAAAGACTTGAAAGCAAACGTCACAAGCATTCCACTAAGAGCCGGATGACGGAGAAGACCCAGCTGTGTCGATGGGTGGAGAATTTCAGGAGGATAATGCATCTGGGTGAATTTTGGAGGAAAGTAATGCGCTACCCGCATCGACGTCTTCAGTGGAGGAGCACGCTGAATTGGTATCCCAACCCACCGTGTCTGAGGACCCCGGAGAATCGGCGGTGAGCATGGCGATCACCACGCATCAGGAGAAGAGTATATTAACGCGTCCGGGTCCTCTGGCGACAGTGTTGAAATAGCGGCTACAACTACACCCATAACAGATTATACGGATGAAGAAGAGGGCCTGGCCATCGTTGATTCCACCATCCGAACACTTTAACTTATCACTGGATTCCCCTATCACATGCCACGGTTTGCGAACGGAAACAGCGCCAGTCGGGAGCTTGCGCAATTCCTCAATAATCGCGTGGTGCGTATCCCTAAGGATGACCCTGCTATGCTGGAAAGGGCGCAACACCACCACTGCGGCGGGCATTTTGACGAGGAGACTGCGAGTTGTTGCTGGAACCGTTATTTGAAGGGGTGTGGCTACGCCTATCCTAACATGGAACGTGATTGGGGTGCGAGGGGAAACCGTCGTCCAGTCCCAAGAGATGCTCCCGACGCGTCTTAAGTCGTTACCAGTACACGAGCTCCTGCATCTTCTAGCGTAGGAAGTCGAGCCAGCGGCGAGCAGAGAGGCGAACACATCTTCGGGTCACCAAGGACAGGCACGCGTGCAGCGCATGTACCAAGCGGAGTCGCGCATTGCGTCCCCGCACCCACGAAACACCAGAGTGCGAGGTCAAGCTGGCGAAACACAACAACAAAAGCCATTGACGTCTGGCGAGCAGTCAACTAGCGAACAGGCGGGAGTGTCCTCTGCTTGCCGTCGGAATCACTTAGGCCGTGAAGTTGTTCCATATGCTATGATCGGACACAGTTGGGGCGCTTCTCAATTGGTGTGCAAGGAAGAGTATGCGAGTCGACGAGCTACTATTTGCATAAATTCCTGGGCTGGACACCACAGCTCCGAGCAAGAAAAGCCAACACAACTCACTCGTCAATGCTTACTATCAGCGGCTCAGAAGATCATCTCACACATTGCCGAGATCCCATCGGGTACTACAGCATATTATATATGCAAATCGAGTTTATGTATAGTTGTGGTGGAGCCGACCTAACTAGAAAAAAGACAGAAAGGAGGAAGATAGAAAAGAGAAGGGGGCAACTATCAACAAGTATCCTGGAGTATCCTGCTAGGCACACCAGGACAAGACATTGCATGGCATGAGTCTCGCATAGTCGCACATAACCGACTGCGCCACAATGATCTCAATCAGTGCTGGAAGGAATTTGTGCTTCCAAGAGGTCGCCCACGTTCATGCGCAATGCGGCAACGTTACTGGGTACGGGGATTTTTCGTTCACAAGTCTTTGAATGAGGCGAAGCCAACTATGGGACATGAAAAGCTAGCGACGATACAGAACCATTTTGGAGTGCGCATTGTCACGAAAAATGTGGATTGCCTGCATCAGTGGGCAACTTCTGGCGTCGGAGAACAGCGAACAATGAATGGCAACGTTGGAGTATCAATATCAACATCTGCATTAAAAACCGGGGAAGAAGAAGATAACAAAGTGAAAGTCTTTAATGGAGTCGAGGATATAAGATTTTAGAACTCCCTGGTTCCCTACGCAGAATTGTATGCAGCAACTGCAAGGCATATGCTTCGTACACCAGAGAGGAAATGCAGGACATGTTGTTTCGCTTGAACCAAGAAAACCCGTTCATGACGGCGAATGAGCCTGAGGAGGTACTTCTAGGGACTCGAGCAACAAGAACAGTTTTCTCAACTCCAACAGGAGAAGTAGAAGATGCTCTCCCCTTTCTCTTCACGACAGAGGATACTCTCAAGGGTGTGGATGCTAAGAACTTCTCTCCCGTGAATGCGGACGGGGACGCGGAGACCGATGACGAAGAGGTGATCAGTCGTTTTCGTCTTCCGCGGTGTGGTAACTGCGGTGCGGACATGTTGAGACCTGATGTCGTGTACTTCGGGGACAAAGTGCCGCAAGCGAAACTGAAACAGTTGAGTCGATGGATGGAGGAAGCTGAGGGGCTAGTGACGTTCGGAACTTCTCTTGCTGTGGGGTCAGCGTGGAGAATCATTCGTAGATGTGCAGAGAGGAAGTTGCCAATCGTGGTAGTGAACCAGGGACCCACGCGACTAGACAGCGAATTTGCCTCTCCCACAACACCAACGGCGCCTCGAATTAACAAGACAGAAAGGGACCTTGAAGATAGTTCTCTCAAACTCAAAAAAAGCAAAAACATGAACCTAGTCCCTCGTGTGCCGCGCATGAATTTAGAGACGTCAGTCTCGCCTACGGTGGAACCTGAAACCCGAAAGGCTGTAAAGCACCGGGTAGACGCTGGGATCAGCGAAGTTTTGGATCTCACAGTGAAAAAGCTGGAAATTGGAATATTACGCTGCAACGTGGAAGACAAGCACGATATTACGCAATTAGATGACACACGGCCTGCAGCGGCTGACACTTGAGTATCTTTTGTTCGGAGTGTCCGGACGCTTCTGTTTCTCTAGATTAGAACCAGGAACATCGATGTGAGGACATTCATTAGCAGTGCAGCGGAAGTCTTGAGAAGATCCTGTACCTCTGTTGCTTTTCATATCTATCGAAAGAACATCTGTGCGCAGAATCTCATGCGTTTTCATAGGCGAACAAGGCGTATAGTCATAAAATCGGTATGCTGAGTGACTGTGACTGTCAAGAAAACAAGAATAGCGTCTTTCTTACCACACGCAGATAATAAAGTTCATGTTCTTGGCAGATGCCCCACCTCAAAACCCTCAAAAGCACGTTTCAAATTTGTAAGAATACTTTCGCTTCTCCCTAACGGATCAGGCGATTTTGATAACCACCTTGCCGACAGCTCTGCGACTTCTCATTCGCACAAACGCAGCAGTGACGCCCTCATCTGTGAAGTCGAAAGTTTTATCGACTTGTACATTGACTTTGTTGTCCTCAAACCACTTCGCCAGAAAGCGCCAATTCGCAGCTGACGGGTCAGGCAGAAACAGGTCGTAGCCGCCCCGTGTAAGATCGCGGCCAACAGCTGCACTAAGTATCGTTCGAATCCAGTCTGTCGGCTTCGGGGTATTCAATGCAACGTAGTATGGCGGTGAGGATGATGGTGAAGTATCTGCACTACCTGGTATTGTGAATAAGTAAAAGGGAGTGAAACTTCGGTTGGGATTGATGGAAGATGAATACTCGGTTAGCGTGCCTCTCCACAAAAACTCAAAGAATTTGAATTTTCTGAGCAGCTTGAAAAGCACCGACAAATGGAACAAAAGGATGGGCTACGTTGATGCGACACTAGTACTAGCCCCGGCATCCTTCAGTAGCGGTCGCAGTATCGCTTCGTAGTTCATATCCGGGCCGTCTCCACTGCTAACCGTGTCGTAAATGAGATCAAAGCCATTTGGTACCGCTTGACGAATTTTCCGTACTAGACTCTCGTTATTTTCGACCGCGTCGTATAAGAAAACGCCATCGGTTCCGAGACCTTTAACGAATTGCTCGTTTTTGCTGCTGCATATTGCGTAGACTTCGCATCCCGCACTTTTTGCCAGCTGCACGGCAGCGGTACCTGTGCCGCCGGATCCACCCGCTATGAGGATGCTCTGGCCCGCACAAATCGCTTTTCGGTCTTTTTTCGCGGTTTTCGCAAAGAGTCCACAGTAGCCGGTCAAATAGACAACGCCGCTTTAATGAAGCGGAAAATCAACCATATGCCTGCCAATTTTCTTGCTGGTTGCGAGTAATAAAAGTCCTAGTATGCCGAGCTTCAATGCTACGAGTGTTTCTACGCCAGGGAAAAGAACGATTGCTCACCCCTCTCAAGAATTTTTATTTTCTTTACTCATACTGGTCTCCTTATGCAAATATGACCTGGTTGGTTGCCTTCAATATTTCCGTAAACACCTGCAGCTGCTTCAAACGAAAGGTTTGGTGGCTTTCGCACTGCACGTGAAGCCGAAACGACCACGTATTCTGCGCAGGCGTTTCCGCCACCACCTGTTATTCCCATGACTGCATCGCCGCGTTGAAAAGCATTAAGGTTCATGCCTTGTTCGCCCGCACCAGGTGAAGATGCCCCATCTGTGTTGCTGCTTGGTCCCCGACCTGCTGGAACATCAGAGCCAACTTCGATCACTTCACCAGAGAAGTCGCGTCCTAGAGTGGGCGTGTAGATGTGCCGCAAAGGCCACAGCCTCACCTTGTAATCCACGGGATTCAGTGCGACGGCTCTGACGCGCACAAGAATTTCGTTCGGACCCGGTGGTGGCGGCTTCGGGAGCGACACGACGGAGGCGCTACTCGAACTGGCCCAGATAGCAGCACGCATTCTTCCTACTATGCGAAGACTCTACCGAATGAAAAATGATGCTTTATTTTCGTTCTGAAATGCGAATGACAAGGTGAAAGGGTCTCTATCTAACACAGCAGGACATATTTATATATTATATTCATTTGCAAGCCTGAGTCACAAAGCATGTGGGGTGACCCCATAGGGGAGATGCAAAATTTTGGTTGCTTCCCCAAAAAATGAGGGCTAGCAAGAAACTCTAGTCGAATGTTAAAAGGACGGCAAAAGAGTAGCAGGAACCCGCATCCTAAAAATGGTCACGGTGCGATAACGCAGCTGGAGATCATCCGAGCTGGTCTTTTGAGATTTCTAGAGCTCGTCATTATCTGTATTGGCGTAAAAGTTGAAGATATTTGCAGTTTGGTTTCCTAAGCGCTCTTGATCATTTTGAGTCTCTTCGTGGCCGAAATAACTTGTTTTCGTCTGTCTTCGAACCGTTTCCGGTACACAACAGAGTGACGTGAAGGCGAAAATTTCTGCCCAGTTCTTCCCCCCACGGCTCCATCGCTCCTGAAAAGTATCCCTCGTTTCGCCATATCGAAGCGCATTCCCAACACTCCGAAAGCAATCCGGAAAACTGTCCGACCCAGGATTGAGGCAGCAGTTTTCGTAGGTACGATTCACAGCCAAGGTGTTTGCCTCTCGACGCACACTCAGGAGTAGATCAGATGCATTCAGAAACCGCGATCGCAGCCTCAAGGAGGCCGCATGCTCGTCGAGCGAAGTTTCGTGTAGAGAACGCGTTTCTGTTACCTCGTCTTCTCCTGTGTCTTTGCTGGCTGACGTGACTAAGGTCCGATCCCGTCTCTGACGTTCCGACTTCAAGAATTCCTCCGTGAAATCGGGCTTGCTTTCCCTCTTTAGATGATTCACAAAGTGAGCGCGCCCCTCGTTGCCTATAACGTGATCCACGTGATACCGCATTGCGAACAGAACGTCTTCGGCAATGTTTTTGCGCTCAATTTCGATGAATAGACTTCGTCGAGCCTCCTCGGCGTCAATGAGCCCCATTCCCATCCGTCTGATAAGCCACTCGTCACGCAAGAGCACGCCCGTTAAAGACTGACCGTAAGAAGCCGATATGAAAGAGGACAGCATCGATCTTTCTGTTCAACATACTTAAGTAGACGTGGTTGCGGTGCTAGGTCTCACTAGGGAGTGCCCTGTCTGGCAATGTCAGTTTATAGTCAATTTTTCACCCACAACAGTGTAGATACAACGCGAAGGGGAGAATTTGAGTAAACCAGTTCCTTCATAGACTGCTCCAGGTAATCCTTTGAGAGGCTCGCCGCTTCTTCCTGCATTCTGCGAATTGGGTTGAGGATGAGGTCCCTCCCGTACTCCACGCGGCCGGAGAAACAGAAATGTTCTGCTACCGCACCTAGTGCCATTGCTCCGGGAGTCCCCTTTTTCTCTGTATCTGCGAAAAGGTTCTCCGCAGCTGGTGCCTCGACCTCCCGCGCAACCTCGGCAAGCTTCAAGGGCAGCATTTGTTCCGCAAATGAAGTTTTGCGCACAACTAGCCCAGCACCAGTGCTACGCTTCGACGTGCCAAACGTGTAGAAAGGCGCCCGCCTCGGGTGGAACCACATGTCACGAAAATTATCAAAATGGGCGCCCCGTGGGAACGCCCGAGCCGTTTGTCGCAATGTGGTCTCCAGAAAAAAGCCGAAATCTGTCGCATACGGATTCATGTCCTCGATAATGTACACTCCAGAATAAGAAGAAGATAGCGAAGACACGCCTTTACTAGGAGGAGTACTTCTTTCCATGATCCTTTGTCCACCAGCACGAAGATACGGCCACAAAAACGTAAAAGAGGCAATATTGGCTCGCGCAGAATGAAAGCCATCATCAATAATCAAGTCAAACGAAATCGGCACCATTTTCTCCTCAGCAATGCTCTCTGCTGTAAGCTCGCCAGTTGCATCCCCGAATATTTCAGGGCATTCCATTCTCCTGAGGATTTCACAGTTTTTCACTCTGCCACGCCACTGTGGCGGAAACGCCGACGCGAAGGGATACGGCAGTCTCCTCAAGTACTCGGACCACCTGATAGTCGAAATTCGTTCTACTTCTGCCACACTGCGATTATCATCTCTCTGCTCCTGTTCCTGTACTACCTCTGTCGCTCTAGTAACTGCTACGACATGACCCGTTGGTAGTTCTGCTAAAGCAGGAATCGGTATTGTAGACAGCCTCCCGAAGTCAGCTGCGTCCGACGCACAAATATCTTGCGCTACCTCCAGTGTTGCGAGCAGTCGACAGCGATAGGCGCGGGAAGTCCAATGCATGTTTTCCGCCATGAAGCGGTCCACTGCGGTTTTGTCAAAGCTGCTCAATCTGGCAGTCGTTACACGGCCCGAAGAACCTGATGCCGCCTGCGCCGCTACGACAGCTTTTTCATCTATGTCCCACCCAATAATGTGTGCCTTGGGGAAGAAGTCGCGCCACACCCGCAGACTAACACCTGGCTGATACTCATTGTCCTGCGCGGCCTTGTACTCAGCCATGTGGCCAGGAATCAAAGGAGAGACGCTTCCGATCCCAATTTCGAGAACATTCCGCACATCGCAGCGATCCTGCTTCAATAACTGGTCGTACACCATCCCATAATTGTGATGTCGACTACCACGATCGGATCCATGATAGTCGAAGAGCGCGTTCAGGATGGACGGCAGGTTACGAAGGATGTTTAAATTTGGCATTGTACTTCGCCCATCAGAAGTGTCTTTCGCTCTACTATGCTCTTCTCCGCCTTCTAACACATCTGCTTGCGGAGACGCGCACTCGTGTTCCAGATGTGCGCGCAATGCTTCATACGTAGTCGTGTCTAGTTGTTGAAAATCTTGGTGATTGTTTCTCGTTAGGCGCGGGCCGTTCGGAATCGAAGCGTCCTTTCGAGTAGCGCATGCGCTATAATGGCTGATTGAAATCAGTGTTAACGCAACGATGACGACAATCGGCATCCTCATATATTAAGCGATATGCGAGGAAAATGGGGATCGATGGCAAAAGATCAAAAAATACTACGTCTTTCTCTCATATTCTGTTTCTGGTCCAATACATACTGTCTTTCTCTCATATCTTTATCTTCTTCCTCCATGCAGTAGATGAGTCTCTCCACTCCTCCGCAAATTTCCCTGCTAAGTTTACAACGATTCTGGTCCCGCGGCTTCACTCCTGACATTCCACCATTCATTTGAAAAGAGTATCGTAGGTGGGAGCTATGTCTTCGGCATGGGACGGCTGACTCAAACACATCACCCGATAAACTAGAGTTGCTCCGAGACAAAAATTGCAGACAATAAAGCAGAAGAAAGTTAGATAGTAAGTGGTGAGTTGTAACCTCCTCGTGCCCACAAGTATTCACAAAAGTAAGATGTTA